GAGCTAATAAGAAATAAACACAAATAAACAACTTGCAAACAATAGCAGAAAAAAAGGATATGATATGTGCAAACTTACAAATTTGTCGTTGTTGTTTTTGTTTTTGTTGTTGTTGTTGTTGTTGTTGTTCTTCTTCTTCTTCTTCTTCTTCCTAGATGGCTTTTGCCTTTTCATTTTCTCTTACTCTGATGCTGTTTACATACAATCCACTCCATTTTCTTTATGTTCCATTTTTTTGAAAGTCAAGTTTTTTTTGTTTTTTTTTTTACCCCCCAAATGATCCAGTATTCTGTAGCTATCTACTCTACTTTACTGAATACAATGAATCAGTCAACATAGTCTGGGAGAACTGGAGAGTAAACTGTATTAAATGATTTATAAATTAATTGAAATAAAAGCTGGAAGATTGTTGTTTTTATTAAATACAAAATATAACAAATGGAGTTGAAACTTTGATTATTTTTTCTCTCTTGCAGTGTACTTCAATTGCAATTTTATACAGACTACATATTTATGTAGTTAACTCATGACTTATTAATTATAAAAACAAATTTGCCAATCTTTACTGTTTTAGCATTTTGGTTCACTACTCATTGTGTAGTTAAATATTTAACTGTACATTTACAGTAAATTACTGGCTACTACTTGCATCACTATCACAGGGAATTTCTGTATCATTTTTACAGTAAATTGTTGTGAAATGACAGCTGTATACAGTGATCTCACAGTAGTTATACCTGCATATTACTGTGATTTAGCATTATGCTCATAAAATTACTATATGTAACTGTAACTTCACAGTTTATGTACATTTGATCACTGTGGTTTAGCAGTATGCTCCTGTAGAATTACTGTATTTCACTGTAATCTTACAGTTAAACTCCATACATTAATGTGATTTAGCAGTATGCTTCTGTAAAATCACTACATTTACCTGCATGAATGTCACAATAAAATGTGGTTAAATATCACAGTAAAAGCCTGTAAGGATGATTATGTAAGTTATTGTGAATTATTACAGTTATACAGTCAGGTCCATAATTATTTGGACAATGATACAGTTGTCGTCATTTTGGCTCTGTACACCACCACAATGGGTTTTAAATGAAACAATGAATACCTGCTTAAAGTGCAGACTCTCAGCTTTCATTTAAGGCTTTTTTCAAAAATGTAATATGAACCGTGTAGGAATGACAACCATTTCTTCACACAGTCCCCCGACTTTAAGGGCTCATAAGTATTTGGACAAACTAACATAATCATTAAATAAACAGTCAGTTTTAATACTTGGTTGCAAATCCTTTACAGTCAATGACTGCCTGAAGTGTTGGACACATAGGCATCATCAGATGCTGGGTTTCTTCCCTGGTGATGCTCTGCCAGCCCTTTACTGCAGCCGTCTGCACTTCCTGCTTGTGTTTTGGGTGTTTTGCCCTCAGTTTTGGCTTCAGCAAGAGAAACGCATGCTCAGTTGGATTCAGGTCAGATGATATGACTTGGCCATTGCACAACATTCCACTTCTTTGCCTTAAAAATGTCTTTGGTTGCTTTTGCAATATGCTTCAGGTCAATGTCCAACTGCACTGTGAAGCATCGTCCAATGAGTTTTGAAGCATTTGGTTGAATCTGAGCAGATAATGGTGCCCCAAACACTTCAGCTTTCATCCTGCTGCTCTTGTAAGCAAGACAAGACTTCACTAGAATAAATACAGAGGGTTTATCACAAGATACAAACCATTAGTTAGCCTTAAAAATGGAAGGCCAGATTAGAGTTTGTCAAAAACCATTTAAAAAGCCTGTACAGTTGTGGAACAGCATACTATGGCCAGATAAAACAAAGATCAACTACCAGAATGATGGGAAGACAAGAGAAGGAAGAAGGGAAGGAACTGCTCATGATCCAAAGCACACCACCTAATCAGTGAAAGATGGTGGAGGTACTGTTATGTCATGGCCATGTATGGCTGCCAGTGGAACTGGTTCTCTTGTATTTATTGATGATGTGACTGCTGACAAGAGCAGCAGGATGAAAGCTGAAGTGTTTGGGGCTACATTATCTGCTAAGATTCAACCAAATGTTTCAAAACTCATTGGACGATGCTTCACAGTGCAGTTGGACAATGACCTGAAGCATATTGCAAAAGCAACCAAAGACATTTTTAAGGCAAAGAAGTGGAATGTTGTGCAATGGCCAAGTCATATCATCTGACCTGAATCCAATTGAGCATGCGTTTCTCTTGCTGAAGCCAAAACTGAGGGCAAAACACCCAAAACACAAGCAGGAAGTGCAGACGGCTGCAGTAAAGGGCTGGCAGAGCATCACCAGGGAAGAAACCCAGCATCTGATGATGCCTATGTGTCCAACACTTCAGGCAGTCATTGACTGTAAAGAATTTGCAACCAAGTATTAAAACTGACTGTTTAATTGATGATTATATTAGTTTGTCCAAATACTTATGAGCCCTTAAAGTCGGGGGACTGTGTGAAGAAATGGTTGTCATTCCTACACGGTTCATATTACATTTTTGAAAAAAGCCTTAAATGAAAGCTGAGAGTCTGCACTTTAAGCAGGTATTCATTGTTTCATTTAAAACCCATTGTGGTGGTGTACAGAGCCAAAATGACGACAACTGTATCACTGTCCAAATAATTATGGACCTGACTGTATATTGTACCTTCCAGGAAATAAGTTGCAGTGTAGGCTATTGTCCTACTCAAACTACCGTCCCACTTTATTAAATAGTGTCAGGGTGAGAGGAGCATCAAGCGCAACTTTCTTAAAATTTGTGTAGATTCTACTGTTTGGTACATTCCAAGATAATAACACTTTTTAAAGTTCCCATCCTGATATCAATTAAACCCCCTAAAAACTCAGCTCTGTTCATTAAAATGACATATTTAGAAGTTTTTCTATGAAAAAAAAACCCTTCATGCCTTCATATGGCTTAAAAGCAACTCTATACCTTTTTTTTACCTGTTCCTCACATACTAAGCACAGAGCTACAGTATAAATATGAAACCTGTCTCCGCCTCCATCTCCACCCTCAGCCGCTTGAGAAACTACATACATTTGATTCTGCTAATTGCTCTCTACAAAGTAACAAACATAATGCGAATATATAACATTCATCTCTTGACCACGTTATTCATCATAATGTGTTGCTAATGTTAGAAAATACCTTGTTCCTGATTGCCAGCTCTGACAAGCTGAAGTGAAAGTGAACGTGAAACTTGGCTTGCAAAATGTAGCTACACCACCTTTGCCTCAATGTTATGGCATTACTAGTTCCAAAGGCATGTGATGTATGAAACCCTGGTTGTCTGAATCCACGTTCTTGTCATTGGTACACTGCAGATCCAAGGTGGAAATGCTCAGCCACAGTGCTGACTATTTATTTTACACATGATAAGTCTTGCAGTGTACAAAACACCACAAGGATGTGTTATCAAGGAAACTGGAAAAAAAAATGGATTTTACTGGAGGGGGTCTATAGTATTGTCTAGAAGTAGAATTTAGATTATTGTTTAATCATTGTTTTAATGCAAGTACTTAAAGCAAGTCACCAATAAAGACTTTTGTTTGTGTCCTTCAACCCAGCACATGTCAAACATTGACACAATTAATGACATGGACACTGTGGAACACTGGAACTGAATTACTGCAGCTGTGAGATGAGACTGATCTTCTGAAGCTGAATGGGGCCTTGATGGACCTGGAGGTGTCCTAATCGAGTCTTCTGAAAGTAAGCTTTTCATGGTGTGTCTGCACATGCAGGAGCAGCAAGATGTACCAGAGAAGCAAGTTGAAATGTTGGAGGTGTGTCCAGTTCTGACTGAAGCAGTCATGTCAGGGATGCTGCCTTGGACTTATCTTTATTGGTGGGTCAAAGCAGTTTCATATAGGCTCATACAGTCAGGGTGAAAGTCCAGCATGTGATCTCCAAGGCTGCAGTGATACAACTTGTATAAGCTGTAAGAGACACCCACACATGACAATGAATAATTTTAATGATATTTATTCACAAGCATGAAAAAAATTACAGTAGCAAAATTATAGTAACTGAGATAATGTTACAAATCTACTTTACAAACCTACTTTACAAATTACTCAAATGTAAAGTCAATAAAGGGACAGTGCTGGGTGCTGTTTGCATCCTATCCTGGCAGACTTTAACATTATGACCACCTTCATTATCTTCCAGATTTTGTTTTGGTCACCATAGTCCCGAAATGTGTGTAGTAATGCAGGATTTGGGATTCAAATAACATTATTTTTCAGGGGGAGGACCCCCAGACCCCCTTCTGTATTGTGCCCCCCTCACTTTTCAAACCAATATTCATATAAAAAACAGACACAACTGTCACTTTAAGTGATCTATAAAAAGGAATATGATATCTCTCACATTCTTTTTCATATGGATAATATGAATTCATCTGCCTTTGACACAATAAATATAATCTCACTCATGGTTATATACCATATTCATTGCAGCAAGTGGAGGAATAGTAAGCCCTTCTTTATCTGGTTAATAAATTGATTTAAGCAGAGTTTCCTGTCAGTGGATAAAAAGAACTCCAGCAGGACTGCAAGAAAGATAAGTGTCGACTTTTCTCGACTTTTCTTGTCATTCTGAATAATCCTTGTTTTGGATCTTGATGTTTTTGCTCCATTTTGTTAACTTTGTATACCTGGTGTTTTAATTCATTAACTTACAATTCTTATTTATTTATATATAAACCCCCCCCTCAGTCTATTTTGTTGTTGTTGTTGATTTATTTATTGATTTATTTTGATGTGATTTTTTTTCTATTTATCTTCTACGAGATAATGTTTGTTCTACAAATGTTAGATAATAAATCATAATAATCAAAAAAGGAAAAAGAAAAAAAAAGAAAGAAAAGGAATATGGCAACCCATCTGAAAACTACCTTTCCCTGCATTCCTTGCACGCGCAAATTTGACAACCAGCCAATCCGCGCCATGACAGCCCGGCACGTGACGTAGGGTAAGTTCCTGCTGTGGCTTGAGGGAAACAGATCGACATTGAGCCACGGGAGAATCGCACTTTGCGGGTAAGATAAGACATTTGGCCCCAACGAGGCCACCTGAGCTTGTATTTAGTGTTCTTCGGAGGGCTTTGCCGGAGGTTTCTGTCCACTGTGGCTCAGAAATAGCCTGAATATCGGATGGAACAAGCTGTCGTACCGTCTGGGCCTTCGCTATTTCCTGGTGCAACTCTACAGCTGTGTCTATGGGAATGGCCAAGTTGGAAAAGTTCAGTTTAGGGGGTTGTGGTGGAGTTTTGTTGTTCTCCACTACGCTTGTAGCTGTTCTGTGGGCTCGTACATGGCCATGAGAACTACCCGGTTCTGTCGCCGACTGCATTCTCGATAGTGGAATAGACTGAAAGCCACCCTTGGGCTGTGTGTTCATATCTTGGAGCTGGTATCCACACCGCAAACTGCTCCTCTGCTGTCAGGTTGTGTTAGTCTGGAAAAAGCTAGCTAACCGTACCACCCTGAATTACACCGTACCACACACCGTCTACTAATACCAACTGAACTTTAACTCCGCGCTCGTTATTTTTGATGATATTATAATTGTATCTCTTTGTGCTTCCAGACATTCCAGTATGTACACATATAGTCTGTGTTGTCAAAGTGCAAGTATTTCTGCTTTGCTGTAATGGGATTTAAGTCGGCCAGCTGCTGATGTTAAAAGCCAACAGATCAGAAACTGCTCTAGTGCTGAAGATGCTCAAACACACCACCAAGGCTTCTGTTCCAGTATGATTAAAGGGGGAAGTAATAATGTCCTGTTTGACTGTGTTTCTGTTCTATAGAGACCTGTCAGTGCAGCTTGTGCACACTGTGCTGCTGGCCTGGCTCACTGCACCAGCTCAGATCAATACATCAGCATTTCTAATATTATTGATAGGTTTCATTATGCCACATGTACATCAGTATGGATTTAACGTTACTGTATGGGTTGGCTGATCAGCAGCAAGAAACTGCAGTAAGGAACAGTGTTCATTTTGATTTAGTTTTAGTTCTTTGACACACACATATATGTTAGTTTTTGTCATGTATTTATGATTTTTACATCTTCTAAGCTTTCCAAGGCTACATCTGCAATTTTGGATATGTAGTCACTGTGGTTACAGGTGCCTAGAGTTGCAGGGATATACCAGTTTTAGGGGTGCAAGATGTTGGATTTTTTGCCGATATCCCAAATGACGATTTGTAACGACTCATTTGACTGATAACTTATATTAATATCGATATATCCACTTTTTTCCCCACCTAATTTTAGTGCTCATCAAGTCTCTTCTTTAGTGGAATTTACATATTATCAATGCATACACTAATGGTGATGGCCCACCAACAGATGGAGATGTGAAATACAGTACTTTTAAATGTATGTAATATTCATTCATTGTGCAAATTAAGAAAAAGCATATTGGCCCATTCTGAGTTCATTTTAAAGCCAAAATTGGAATATACTGATGATGTGCTGATATTAGTATAGTTACAAGTATCTAGGGTTGCAGCAATATATTTGTTTTTAGGTATACCATGATATAAAAGTATAAAATGGCAACTGGATGAATAACCACTTTATTTTAGTTAGAGTAATAAAATGTTTGTTTAAGCAAAAATAACCCTTCTGTTTTCATACCTGTAAGGGTCCTACTGACTGATAATAATGTAAATTCTGTAATACTGTGAGACTGAGATACAACAATATTTTCTGAGACAGTTATCGTAGCCTGAAAATCTCATACCGTTGTAACCCTACATGAGGTTTTTGTGAGGTTAATAGAAAACTAAAGGCACTGTTTATTGTAATCATTTCTCTGACTAGATCCAGTTGATAGCATACATCATACATAATTTTCTTTGCATGTTGATTTATTCTTTTTATCCCAGTGTTTTGGCACAGTTGCAGATAAAGATTAGGCAACCTTCAATTTTTGTACCACGGTACACCCAGAAACCGTATGCCATGGTATGAAAATTGACAGTTATCATACCGTTCTGAATCTGCTTATTTACGGCAGTCGTCTCAACCTTTTTCATGACAAGAACTCCTACAATCCTCCCCCTGGTACAGTTTAAGTCACAGACTCCAACTTTACCTTAGGGACCTCCAACTGAAATTACTTTAGTTGTTGGACATGATAAAAAATCAGGATCCTTTAGTTGTCAACTACAGTTGAGGAATAAACATGGAGGAAGTGAAACCTGTTATCAGAATAGTCACTCTTACTCACATTGGGCTCACTTCTATAGTGGAATAAATTGTGAAGATAAATTATTCCCCCTCAGGGACCCCTGGGAGTTCCAGACCTCTTGTTGAGAATGACTGATATACGGTTATAACAAAAGTAAAGCTACCATGGGCATCTCCTTTCCCCCTGGACTGCCTTTTGCACTTTTACACATACCCCCATTTTAAAAAATAGTTAAAAGTTTCAGTTTACAATAAAACGTTCATTCAACAAAAGAAAAAAAAAATTCTGTTTCATTCCTTTGGTTATTGTAACTGGTGATAGCAGTAACAATTTGTAATACTGTAATACCGTGAAACCGTGATATTTTCTGTAGAGTTGTTTGATACCAATACCAGTATTGGAAAATGCCTCTGACAGTCTTTAAAAAGCTAGAGCGGGCATTGACAAGTACGCAAGTCTATGCACAGATCCGATCTGTCATTTATTAATAAACTTTAAAATTGTTTTACACTCGAATAAATCAGCAGCAGTTAGCTGTCTTGGCCGCTCTGGCAACAGCTGTTTGTAGAGCGGCAATGAAAAAATGATTTCCGGTAAATCGTGTATGTAGGCCTATTTGTTCATGTTTTACAAAAGGTTTAAACTGAGCCATGCTGTACAACAATGATAACAATCAATTCATATTCATACAGGGTTAGTAATATATAGCCAGCTCTTATTTCTTTTAATGCAATGGTATTGGATCGGTACCCGGTATTGGCTGATTCGCAAGTTCAGGAATCGGAATCAGTACTGGGTTTGTAATTTCCTGAGATGGTTATGGTACCATGAAAATCTCATCCTGGTGCAACCACTATTGGGCTACACTAATATTATAAGTATTATACTATTTGTATATGCATAGGATTGTGTGGGACTGTGTTTGGCATGTGATTTAAACATTTGCAATAACTCCAGAGTGTTAGCCTACCAATAGTCAAAATTTAAAAAATGAAAAAAAGACAGATGTAATCATTTCCAAAATTCACGTTTTTTAATGAAATAATAGCAATAATAACAATCCAAAAATTTTTGGCATTTAGCCTTTAAGAAACATAATTTTCACTGCAGTCAAAAAACTTGTCCCACAGAAAGGGAGGCACACACCTGTATTACCTGGCCTAACAGCACCAAAAAATTACATCTATTCATTAAATAAAGTTGATTTTATTTTTTAAAATCAGTTATTAATTAAGTATCCCTTTATTGAAGTAATTATGAATAATTAATCACTTAAGTGGATTGAGGATTTTGATCAAGGATTTTTTTCCAATTTTTGGTGGGGTAATGATGTCATAAAATATGATGGCATTCAAAGCTTCATTAGAAAATCTCAATAGAAGCTTTAAATGTAAAAAGATGATATGTGGTACAGCCTTACAGTTGACATTACATTACAATCAAGATGGTGCTTTTATTTAAAGTGACTAACAATAAGTGCTTTTAACCATGTGAATAAAGACTCATGCTAGCTCACTCACGCCAGGGTTGCAGTAATATACCGGTTTCAAGGTACAGTACAGGCCAAAAGTTTGGACACACCTTCTCATTCAATGCGTTTTCTTTATTTTCATGACTATTTACATTGTAGATTCTCACTGAAGGCATCAAAACTATGAATGAACACGTGGAGTTATGTACTTAACAAAAAAAGGTGAAATAACTGAAAACAGGTTTTATATTCTAGTTTCTTCAAAATAGCCACCCTTTGCTCTGATTACTGCTTTGCACACTCTTGGCATTCTCTCCATGAGCTTCAAGAGGTAGTCACCTGAAATGGTTTTCCAACAGTCTTGAAGGAGTTCCCAGAGGTGTTTAGCACTTGTTGGCCCCTTTGCCTTCACTCTGCGATCCAGCTCACCCCAAACCATCTCGATTGGGTTCAGGTCCGGTGACTGTGGAGGCCAGGTCATCTGCCGCAGCACTCCATCACTCTCCTTCTTGGTCAAATAGCCCTTACACAGCCTGGAGGTGTGTTTGGGGTCATTGTCCTGTTGGCCTGTACTTTGGCCTGTACTGTATACCGTGATATGAACAGTGATGGTTATACTTTGATTAAAAAAATAAAAAAGTTGTTTCAAGTTTCAATCAGTAAAACATTCGTTTAACTAAAAAAAACCCTCTATTTTCGTTTCTTTAAGGGTTAGGGCTGCAACTGATGGTAATAATAATTCTGTGATACCATGACACAGCGATATTTTCTGAGATGGTTATCGTACTGTGAAAATCTCATACCGTGGCAACCCTAATGCTAGCATGCAAGCTTCATAAGAAAACACTGAACTGACTCAAGTACTACATTTGGAAACAATAAGAGATAGTTTTTTTTGTTTTATTTTTTTTTTGATGGGCCAAGGTGCAATCTGAAGAGTTTTCAGTTTTTGTTGGGTGCCCAACAAAGCATAGTCGATGGGCTGTGATTTACGGGTTTACCATATCCTATAGGCTAGGCCCTTAGCTGATCACAGCATGGTAGGCAGGTGCTATTGTCTTGATTTGGATTTCTGCAGAGGAGCGGGTTAGTTTGGGAGGAGTTTGGCAGAAACTAAAGTTTGTCCTTCCCAAACTCTGTTTGAACAGAGCCTTTCACTCTCTGTGGTTCTTGACAACTGGTCATCATTGATTGCAGCAGAACAGCTGTTCATTCTGGATTCACTCACCTGTTGACTAAAATCCTGTTCACTGTCTCAGTTAGCTCAAAAATGAAACAACAAGTGCTAAAATATAGGCTCACCTTGAGCAAACATCCAGAGGAAGATGAATGACAGCCAACATTAATCCTGCCCTCCTCTTTACAAAGAGCCTATAAAATAAATAATATAAATGAGTATTATTAAATGATATTAAAGTAAATTAAAACTAATGCTAATGTTACCATATGCAGCAGGGGTGTCCAAACTTAACGCGTCTTTGCGGTTGCTATGTCTGCAGGAACTGTCTGCTGTTAGGTTACCGTTCCCCTTGCTTGTTTTCTTTATTGTCTGTTTATGAAAACACATTTGTTCCGATTGCGTAGTTCCTTCTTGATGCATGTCTGTGAACTGTATGTATGACAGTTGTGCCATTGTGAAATGAAGGGAAAATGCAAAGTGATCTTGCTTGATTAACCAATATTGTGTGAAAGGACACATATTTTGAAAGTCAAGCTGAGGGCTGTTTAAAATTGGTCCAGGGCCATGGTTTAGACATGCCTGGTATTAGGTACTTGGGTCACGTTACAGTGTTATTACGATTTTAAATGTTGTGATATGCTGAGTATTACGATAAAATATATTGCAATTTATTACCTTTTTTTTTCAACTTTGACAACGTCTGTTTTATCTAATGAGATAAAGTTTTCAGTCCGTGCATCTCACTTCAGCCCTTTTTTTTGTTTTGGAGTAAAATATATGTAGTGGACTGAAAAAGCAATCGATTATATTATTCTAGTAGGGTTCCTAAAGTTTCATTTGTATTTGTGATATTAATAATTTACAAATAAATTGATTAAACATTTTCTTACAAAAAAAAAAATCAATACTTGACACTGTGTGAAGATACGATATTGCCACACAAAAATTCTGCGATACTGTGCTGTATCAGTTTTTCCCCCACCCCTACCTGGTATACAGTAACATAATGTCAGGACATGTTTTGGGGTCTAGTTTCTTTTTGACTAATTTTCAGTGGGACTGTAGAGAAATTCAGTTCATACTTCTATTACATTTTCCTTCCAGTACCTACCATGTCTATTTTTCTCATTGTTGTGTAGTTTTTATTTGTTGACAAAAATTGGATTGCATTTAATTCTAGGTTCTGTATCAAAACTTGCCTTTTAATTATTCTCTAGTTGGTTTGCCAAGAACAACAACAAGATAATAACACATGCTTGTTTTTAAGAGACAAGGTGATCCACAGGTACCCACGTTTATATTTAAAGGAAAACAAAGCGAACGGGGACTACTGGAATGGAGTGTGGATCAGGGAATCAGCATGCTTGGAAAGCCAGACTGACACAGATTCTCAAAGTATGAAAAGAACTGCGTGTACGTCTGTGTAATTGGCACAAGTCTGCAACTGTCCGTAAATGTTTAACACAGAAAGTATAGCTTTACAGATTTTATTGACTAGACAGACTGGACATGTTCATTTTTGCACTGTAAAAACTACCTGAGGATTTTTAGACAGTATAGCATAGTTCAAGCGAGACACAGCTGTAGGAGACAACAAAGAAATGTAAATGTAATGTAAATAAATGTAAATAATGGCTGAACAGACTGAATCAGTAATGTAATGTAATTCTCCGTCCAAATGTCGGGATGTATATAATGGCAACTTAGACCACCGCCGTCTACAACACTGCCTTTCAAGGTACATTATTACGACCTCCCCCATCGGCATAGTCGTTTGTTATTGTGTGAAACTTTTGACTCTGCCCTCTAGTCCCATCTATTGGCTGTATCTATGCCATCATAAAGGACACAGGGAAGTATGAGGGCAGTGATGTTCACAACGTTTGAAATGGAATTATCTATTTTCGTACATAAAGGGAGTATAAATGGGCCTTAAGACTCTGAGAAATACTAAAATCCAACTGGAAGTAGCCTAATTCATGTGTAATTGATCAATTCCTGCGTTCTCCTTTGAGAAAAACAAAAAGGGAAAAAAAAAAATGTATTTTATGTTTTTTGGATTGCATTAATTTGCATTGATTTGAAATGTTGTTTTTTTTACTCTTGCTCCCAAACAGTTTTTAGTTCCCAATGTTATAGACACATTTTGGGTGTTACCAAAAAGGTACAGTATTGAGGTTTGATACCCAGCCCCAGAATAACCTAAGAAACAGGAAGCTGTACTACGGTGGTTTTCCACAAAACCTCAGTTTAACTATAATTAGTTCACAAAGGTTTTTCACTCTTCAAACTGGCCCCCACTGCCACACACTTTCCCAGAATGAGGAACCATTCATAGCTTGTAGTTTCATGCTCTTAAGTATTGATGCATCTGCTTTTCACAATAACAAGACCAGGGGCGTCGGTGGCTTAGTGGATAGAGCAGGCGCCCCATGTACAAGGCTGTTGCCGCAGCGTCCCAGGTGCAAGTCCAGCCTGTGGCCCTTTGCTGCATGTCATCCTCTCTCTCTCTCCCCCCCCCTTCATACTTGGCTGTCCTGTCCATTAAAGGCAAAAATGCCCAAAAAAATCTTAAAAAAAAAAAACAAGACCAGATTATTTGATGTTACAAATGTTGAAACATGCTTTCAGTTCAGCAGCCTCTCTCTCATCATTTCTGCTGTCCATCAAAGCTCAATATCCATCCATCGTCTTTTGGTAACATCATACTGTTCCTGACCATAAACCTCTGTGAAGGTGGTTTCCCCACTGACAAAATTATACAGTAGACTGCATGTGAAACAACACCCCCTTCTCTAAGCTGATATCAATCACTTTACGCTAGACTGATTTTGGTCTGGTTTTTCTGTCTTTAATAGGCCTGTTTGTTTTTGCTGGCAAAGGCCTAATAAAATCTGTTAATTGTCATGATTTCTAAATAAAGTTTCAGTTTCACTTCTTTCACACTTTCTCTGTGTCCGCATAACTCATGCCATCTCTGGCTCAACAACAAATGTTTATTCTCACTTTTTCTCCCTTCCTTTCTCCTAAAGCTCTTATGTTATGCGGATATAACCACAGCACTATCTATAAGCCAAAACTAAAAAAAGGTCAGTGTTGCATTTGAATTCATCAAATGAACTTGTTATTAACCTTCTTTCTAAAATCTTGTTTGTTAAACCTTGTGAAAATGGGACATAGCATTTTCTAAGTTCTGCCAATATTCTGTTCAGTGGTTTGAAAAAAACTGTCTTTGATGTTATGGGTTTACACCACACCTTACAAATCACCCACCTGAACCATTGTTTAATGTCTTATGTGGCTCTGGATGTTAGGGTTATCTTAGACTTGGCTTGATATTTCCTGTTCATAAATTGCACACTAAAGCAGTGTAAAATACTTTACCTTGATGATGTGTTGTTGGTGTGCTAGTCAAACACCACAGTAAGAGCCTGTCGCCTGCAGCTCTTTTCCCGTCACTGTGGCTGTTACAGTTTGTATAGTTAAAACTGATCTGAATACATCTGTTTGGTTAGACCTGTTTTTTTTTGTTTTTTTTTGAAAGAATTGCACCACTAATGAAGCTTTGCTAACTCTGTGCCTCCAGCCGCTGAGGACTCAGCTACGCCATCACCATGTCACAGTGCTACATGACATGGTGATGGCTTTCCCCCACTGTGAGACAATAGTGGAAGCGCTTTTCACCATGGCTTGGCTTGGCATGGTGCAGTTAAAGCAGGCTTACACTGGACCATTGAAAAAGCCATTAAAAGTCAGAGTATCTCTGCCTGTACTGCTCAGTTTTGACCTTCTTTTTTTTAAAAAAAAATTTTTTTATGCCTACGCGCAAGTGATAGCCATGACTGGAGGCAATATGTTTTCAGGTTGTACATCCGTCCCATTCTTGCGAACGTGATACAGCAAGAATGCCTCAAGGGAATATCTTCAATTTGTTATGAAGGTTGACTTGGACTCAATGATGAACTACCGTGACCATATATGGCACACATGGGAATGGAAATGAGACTGGTGGATGTTGGTTAAGCCTGAAGTTAGCCTGAAGCTAACCTGCTGCTCTTGCTTTATAACACAGGTCTATGGTTCCCATGAAGAAGAGTTTTCACACGAAACTTCTGGGTAGTCCCTACAATGCATTGTTACCATGATGAATTTTTCAAAAGATGGTGTTACCATGACTACTGTTGAGTGGCAGCTGGCAGAGATGAGGGTTACTCTCCCCAGATCATTGAACACCTGTTACTCACCTTCCTTTTACACACTATTGTGTGTTCTCTTGGACGTTGTAATTCAATATCAGAAGAGGGCTAGTTATTTATTATTGATGATACATACTAATAATCGCATGAGTGGGCTCAATGGTGCTGAGTCAATGTGTTGACATTGATCACTCTTGTAGAAAAAATCCCATCTACAACATCTTCAATGATGTTCCTGGAGTCATCAGCTCCATGGTTCCTCACTTGCAGCAAAGTGGATGTTGACAAATGTGATTTGGCCTGTATGTTGTAATACATTGTTAGCAAAAATGTATTATTTGTTTTCATGAGACCCCATATGTCACTCCTTCATAGTATAGTGTTGTCACCATGTGCGTTCTGTAATCTATCTTTTCATGGTAAAAAACAAACACTGCTGTCATTGACTCTGTTGATTCTAAATATGTTTTTTTTGCTGACAGGATCCATGTCAGCATTAGTACTGACAAGTTCTGTCTAATCTGACGTGGTGTATTGTGGCCCTGAGGCTGTTGTGAAAATGTTCTGGTATCTGTCATTTCCTGCTGATGAATCTGTGCTTATATCCTTACAGAAATATGAGAGCCCAGCTTTAGCAGGACCTCGCTGCTGACACCACTAACAGTCTCTGTGTGTCTCTCTCACTCTCTCAGCCTGTGGAAGCCCCCTCCCTGAGCAATGGCCTCACCAGTCTCAGTCTACAACTCCAACGCCTTGGACACACACATCTCCAGTGTAAGTGGATTTATGTGACTCTGTTTGCTATATCTGGTGTATCTGCAATAGGACTGTGTACCTGTGCCAGCTGGTTAAGGTTGAAGTATTTAGATCCTACATGTGTGCTGTTTGAGGATATTAAGCTCACATACTGGGAAAAAGTAGTCCCCCACTACTGCAAAGATGCAGGTTGCCTCACTGGAAGCCAGTAAGGGATCTTGGCACTAGTGCCACCTACTGGATGGTCAGGAGGTCAAGACAAGAAAATGGCATAAAAATACAGAGCTAAAAAAAAAGACCATTGCCATCTAGTGTTGGACAAGTTACCCTCAAAATGTAATTTATTCCTAGTTACCTTCTATAAAAGTTACTTTACAATATTAGTCTCTGTGTAGAGTGATAAGTTAGTAATTACAATACTTTTGCATCACTTTGACCAAAATGAGCTCAGAAGAACTAATGTTCATTTTAAATGGATGAGGGTCATGTTGTATCACAGCAGGTAATCAAAGCACAGAAGCTCCAGTTTATTACAGTTCATTTCAAATCCAGTGCTGTGCAAGACTGACTCATTCATGCGTTCACATACAGTGGTTACCACTCTGTATTAAAATCCCCTGCCTATATCAATAATAGCGTGTTGATATAGAGCAATTAAATAGCTTAGACCTTTTAGATAGACGAATAGCCTTTGACACAGGGAGCATCAGGCAGAGGATCAGAGTCTGATCAGTTATGAGATATAGATTAATATCTGTGGGCCTATGATATGAAACACAATAAACAAATGCTGAGGTTAGCACAACAACTGGAATGATGTGCGAGTCAGTCACTATGACGAGCACAAATTAATAGAGCGGAGCTGGAGGACCCACCTGCTAGTTCCTGTGCTGGATTGAGAGTTTTGCATAGCAACGGGACAGTGTGCTCTGCAGTTGTAGAAGATGAGAATGGAAACATGTCCAACATATTGATTAGATTTCAGAGGTCAAAGGTGAAAGTTTAAGTCACCGTCTCATTCTCGTGAACATGGTGTTTCAAGAGCACCTTTAGGGTATTTGATGTCTAGAATAAACTATTTAACATTTTGTGGTTGAAGGTCAAGGTCAGTGTGACCTCACAAAATATGTTTTTGGATAGTACTCAATAATTCATATGCTAATTAGGGGTGTAAACTCACCAGTTTCATCACGATACAATATTTGCTGATATTACAAAGTCTGCCACGATACGATTGCAATTCGATGTGATTTATAGGCCTGCCATCGATATGAGCAATATTATATGCCCATATAACACAGGTGGTTACAGAAGAAGCTGCTACCCTTTTCTTTTTTGCTTATGGCCATAAAGGAGAAAAACAACACATAAATATTCTAAATAAATGTAACTGCTTAAGTGCAGTACAGTTTACTTTATTCTGACTCCACTAACACACATTAAACAGCACATGAGATAAGTTTGTCTTAAGAAAGAAATCTTTTCATTTGAACCCAAACCATCATCTGTTTCCTAAAACTTCAGGGTAATCTGTCTTAAAGCCCTGAAAGCAAACTTCTCCCAACAGCCATAACACATGGATTAATAACAACATCATTTAAAAGTAGCAAATTCAGCTCAGTAATAACTGTCAAGGTTTATTGACAAAACCATTGTTTTTTGCTAGTCACTCATGATTAGCTTATGCATACACTGCAGAAATTAGGCTAGCGGCTTGTGGACTTTTTCTCAAAATTCATAGCTTAACAAATGACATGTAATGTTAGTATTTTTCTTACTCACTGTTGGTTTAAGTCAGTGTATCTCCCAACAGAACAGCTTGGTTGAGTTTCAGACTACATGCACGTTGAAACAGAGCAGCTGATGTTGCTGTAGTGAGAAGTTAGCAGGATGAGATGCTTGGCCAGGCAGGCAACATTACGTCATACTTAATCTCCTAACAGCATTGTTCACATATGGCATGTGTATGTTTTTTTCTCCAAAATCCAAAATATTTCCACTATGGGATGCACACGATTAGCCGTCTTAACGATTAGACGTCCGCCCCCTCGCTACTCAGCACCAGAAATATTAGTCGGTTAATCCCATTAGTGTTTTATTCATGTACAAGGCCACTTAACTGTCATGCAGCCACCTGCCACTAGTTGGTGCTACAGAAGTGTCAGACAGCAGTCCCCCTCCCTGTGGTAATGCTCAAGTAGACTGGAGTTTTAAAGCAGCACAGTGGGAAATAAGAGAGATGTCCTCTCGCAAAACCAGCGTGGTGTGGCAGTACTTTGATCTAGAAAATGAAAACAATGTAGGCTGTGTCAGAAAATAAACTGGCATATAATCAATCCACTGGAGCAATGCACAACCATATTCGACTCAAGCATTTGGATGTAATCTGCGCAGAACAACGGCTGCTGCTGCTGCTAGCGGTGCTAGCCACACTCAAACTTTGTAAATGTGATATCTCAAGATTACCTTAAAGGAATTTCTTTAAATTTGACATAAATGTCCACTTGAACTGAAGAATAAACTGATTAGAATTTGTAGTCAAAGGTCAAGGTCTGTGTGACTTAACAAAACATGTTTTTGGCCAAGAATTCATATGCAAATAATGACAAAACTTTAAGCAAATGTCTCATAGGATAAAATAATGAAGTGATGATATTTTGTATCCAAAAGGTCAAAGGTCAGCTTCATCATGACATCATAATGTTGTGCGTAAAACACATTTCTGACCATTATTCAACATCATATCACAGGAACAGAAGGGGAGACATTTGGTCAGATACTAAGATGGTGACACTGATCTTCTGAATCTATGCTGATTGTATAGATCTTATGTGCAGGTAGGGGAAAATATGTGTGAAGCATCCATGTTTTTGCAGACATGGATGTAAACTGTAGGAGAAACTTGACTGATGCACGAAGATATACAACTGAAGGGCGGTAATTCTAGTTTCGATTCAGAGACTATTGTCTGTAGTTAAATTGCAGTCGTTTAAGCAAACATAAAAAGTGGTCCCTGACATTTATGATTGAGGTCAGCAAGCCTTGTACTAGTAGCTTTGAATCTTAGTGTATTCATTTTGAATCAGTATCGTATAAAGTAGTCACTCTGAGGGTGTGTGCCCAATTATGGTGAACCAGCAGGATGGGAAAAGTTGCCAGCTCCATGGTGTTTGCAACAAAGTGGTTTTTCTGGTTGAGTCATTTATATTAAGAATTAAAACATATACAAACAAGACTGCAAAGCCCCATTCAGGATGTACAATCAAACCTGTCAGTCATAAAACACAGTAAAGCTAGAAACACATTTCCTTTATGGAAGTTGTGATTTAAATGGAATGAATAAAGATTTTATTGAAATTGAACTGTAGAGAAGAATAGATTAATCCAAATGCCAATAGTATGGCTTTGGAGTGAAATTTTTTTATTAGGCCTAAGTTCCAAATAAGGATAAAGAGCAGCAGTGTCAAATTTAGTTGCTAAGCTCCTTAAATCCTCCATGTCACAGTTTGTCAGTTCATCATCTTAAAAAGGAATAGTGGCGTGTGTGTGCGCTGTCTCATCTCACTGGTCACTAAATCTGACCACACTTCAGATGGCTCACAGCAGACTGGCTCTTTTTCCCTCTTTTCCTTTTGTGTTTCCTTTCTGGTACTTCCCCGGAAAGTAAAAAAAACACCAAATAAAGCATGAAAAACTGACACCCACCAATCCTTTAAATGTATACTGTGTAGGATTATTGTTTACTGTTTGTAAACATGCCTGCCAGTGAAAGTGACAGTAAAAGCTAACCACAGATTGACTCCCATTTGGTGTCTCTCCTTGCTATATTTGTGTTTTGTCTGGGCTGTGTCTCTTGGATGCCTGCTGCTTACAGTACGGCACCTGGTCGCTACCTTTTTCTAAAGCCTTGACCTTACCTGAGTGCTGTGGAAGTACACGCCCATAAGGGGGTGGGCATTATATCGATGACACTCGTATGGCAGCTTGTTCCATGTGGAATGTATAAAATGACTGTATCGTGAAGATTGAGTATAAATTTTCATATTGTTTCTTTAAGCCACTGGGATAAGACCTGTTTTGGTGTTTTGGTTCTCTCACCCTCTTGCGGCCCTCTCCCTCTCACAGGCACACACACAACAAAGAAAGACTCACAAACATGATACATCAGACACACTCCTCCCATCCAGATCCCTTTTGCCTGAGTGACAGTGTCTGAGTAGGCAAAGGGTGTCTTATGTGCAGGGCCCCAGACCGCCAGTATTAAGTAGAATATTTGTGACCATGGAGCTCTACTGCAATGTTTAAGTATTACTAATACTTGGACTAGAGAGCTGTTAACTTGTTTCCAGCTTACTGTGGATAAAACCCCCTTTTTTTAAGATTTTTTTGGGGAGGGGGCTTTTTGCCTTTAATGAACAGGACAGGAGTGAAATGGGGTGAGAGAGAGAGAGCAGGGGAGGTGACATGCAGAAATGGTCGCAAGCTGGAGTCAATGGAGTACATGGGGTGCCAGCACTATCCACTACGCTGCTGACGCCCCTAAATCCTCATTTTTAATGGCGCAGTGGTAATAGTTAAATTTAATGAGTTCAACGGTAGTGTGCGCAGACAAAGCATGTTTTTGTACCTGCGGGGTTCCAGACCGCAACTATTTAGTCATATTTTGAAACCAAGGAGCGCTAGTGTGACTTGCAGATATTAGAGTAGTAGAGCTGTTGCGTTTCCAGCTCACAGTGTAAAGTCACTACAGCAACAGATTAACCGTCTGTTAACTGCTAACAACAACCATAGACTGGAAGCTTCAATTTCACAGCAAAAACAACACTTCCAGCCCAAGATGAGCCAGGTCCTTCAAAATAAAAGCACCAGTGGTTCCACCTTGATTAATTTGGTTATAACAATACTTTAATTCTCTATATTATAACAGTATAATATTTAAATTTATTATAACAGTATTTATTTACCTTTATTTTCATGGTATTCAGCTTTTTTCTGACAGTGCTTTATTTACCGTTATTAGTGTTTTATTTAACTTTATTGTAACAACACTTTATTTAACATTATTATAACAGTATTTTAGGTATTTTCATTTATCATTTATCATAGCAGTACTTTATTTAACTTAATAATGATTATTGCCCAGCCCTAATGCCCATAAACATCCCAAACACAGAAAATAAGAAAATCCAGGCAGAGGACAGAGTCTCTGCAGAAAAATACATCGGCACACACTGAGAGTGGGTCATAAGTGATGGTTGAGAGTGTTTACTTCTGTATGATTCAGTACATTGTTGTTTTCTTCATTTTGTTTTTACTTTCAAATAAATAAGGTGTTACTGCAATTTATTCTATTATTCTGTTTTTATGCCTTGTTTTGTGTGTGTTTGTAGACCTCCAGAGAGTCTCTAAAGATGGAGTTGTTAGCTGACGTATCTTTGCTGCCAGGGGAGGAGAGAATTATAGGTGAGTACATGGAGCTTAGTCAGTGACAAAATTATTTGTTCACTCTGTTCCAAAGAGATGTGCCCCTGTGGTGGTACTGTGATCATGGGCAAATAGTTTGACTCCCAGGAACATGTCTGTCAGGTCAACTGCTTGTGTAGCTTGTAGAACAGTGCTCCTTTATATTGTTGAAGTAGTTATGCATAACCTAGATGTGTTGATCTTAATCATAGTACATATGTTACATCTTTAACATCTGTAACTAATGTACATACAACTATAACTGTTTGTGTTTTTTTTCATAAGGTGTTTATTTTATTCATAAGGACAAACCCATTTACTGAGTGGGCCTGTCCTTAGTCTCTTATTAAACACTCAGAATAAATGGCATTTATAGCCTTCCTTTGCCTCTGTGTGCTGATATCTTCCTTACACTACTCACTGCTTACCAACAATATCATGATGTCTGAACAGAAATACTAGTGTGGAAAAGTACCTTTTGTAAGCCAATGAGGCCTGTGTAAGATCATGTGAGAAGGATCGAAAGCAAATCCATAAACAATGTTTGTGTTGATCTTTTTTCCCAGATAAAGACATCATCTACATCTGTCCATACAGCGGAGCTGTGAAAGGCAAAGTGTTGATCACCAACTACAGACTCTACTTTAAGAGCTCAGATGCTGTAAGTCCCATTAAACTCATGTGGGGCCAGTCAGTGGCTCAGCTGTGTGAGTGTGGTTGACCGATGGAAGCCATCAACTAATCTATCAGCAGTGAGGTTAAATAACATATCTAACAATATCTGTGTGACACATATCTCTGTGAGCTGTTTATGGTGTTTTAGTGTCTGTATACAGACTCTACATTCAGTGAATGTAGAGTCTGTAGGCAAACCCCGGAGATTTTGCCTCCGGAAGAACAGCGGAAGAGCCCTGGTTTCCGGTGCAAGGCTGTTTGTAGTCCACGTGATATTGATCAATCACGTTTGAGCAGGCTGCAGTTGTTGCCAGGTTAAACGCTCTGTGCGGTGAACTAACGAGGCGGAACATAATTGGCGTCACTGCAAACTCTGAATCCATCGCAATGTTTCAGCATATTTATTTATATATAAATGGAAGTCGGAAACAGAAATTCGCCTCCTGCGCCCAAATCAAACCGGAATGCCAAAAAATCAGGGGTCTGCCCCCAGAGGCTGTATCGCCGTCTGCCGGAAGTCAGACACCAAATACAGCCAATGGTTTCCGAGAATGGTAGTGTTTTAACATGACCTTAACCTTACAAGGGAAGGTGAGGGATGAAATATTTACTGTTTTCCTCGGTGATTTAACACATTATTCCAGAAAGGCATCAGGAAATTACAGGATGTGGTCTGACAAAGCCTGAGAAGTAAAGCCTTAAGCCTCCCCAAGGGGGCGTGGGAGAGCTGAAGGGGAAAGACGCAAGGCAAAGTTACTGCATGAAGTGAATTTGAGTCAAAAATCACACTCCTTCTCTGAGTCATAACTCAGTGAAATCTGAACACATGGATATGAAACACATTTTGACATTATTCAGTTTGACTTACACCTCCTGAGGATATCATCATCTCTGATGTCCATCACAATTAAATGTCCACAAGTCTTCTCTGAAATCATAGAAAAAGTACACTTCAGAGCTTGCTTTAGAGTCATCAGGTATTCAAGTTTTCATCAGTATCAAAGTAATTCAGTGATAGTTATCCGTATATCCATGGGTACATTGCTAACTCGAACTGCTCATAGCTAATTTGTAGTACTTTTAATATTGCCAGTTTGATAAAAATGCAAACAGATATAGGCTGAAATAAGACATGGGGCTCAAAAGAGAATATGTAGCTGACATTACCCCCTCCTCCCATGAGGGGCATGCAGTTCACAGTGGGCAGGCAGAACCGTTAGGTAATGCTTTATATTAAGGTCCTTGTAATAAGCTTTCATTAATAGTTAATAACAACCTTGTAAGTTCTTGCAAGATGCTTATTAACATCATCATGTGTTGGTAAGACTATATAAGTGTTAATAATGACATGATAAACATGATACCACTGCTTCAATCTGTAGTTTGTGTTATTGTGTATCTGTGGTGTTTTAAAGGGTTAGTTTGGATTATCACACAGTAACACAACAAACCTTTTGCCAGTGTTAATTTTGATAGCTATTTTAGATTTAGACTTAGTCTTTAGACAAAAATGCTGATAAGTTTTAGTCACATTTTGGTCATTTTTATTCTTGTTTTAGTCTAGTTTCAGTCGACGAAAATTCAAAATTAAGATTTACTTTAATGATCCCCAGAGAGGAAATTCAAGTGTCTAAAATGTCTTAGTTGATGAAAATTCATGACATTGTTGTCAAATTTTAGTCAATATGTTTTCTATATATTTTTTTTAATCTTCAGACTAATACAGTGGCGGTGTGGTGGTTAGCACAGTCGCGTCACAGCAAGAGGGTTCCTGGTTCAATCCCAGGAGGGAGCCCTTCTGTGCAGAGTTTGCATGTTCTTCCTGTGTCAGTGTAGGTTTTCTCCGGGTACTACGGCTTCCCCCGCACAGTGACAGACATGCAGGTTGGGGATAGGTTAATTGGTGACTCCAAATTGTCCATAGGTGTGAATGTGTGAATTGTCCGTCTCTATGTGTTAGCCCTGCAATAGTCTGGTGACCTGTCCAGGGTGTACCCTACCTATTTTTTAGCAGGTTTAACTGTTTTTACAAAACCTGCGTACACGCCCCACTTTCGTGGAAAAGGAGTATTACTAATCGAGGCACCCATAGATCAGCAGCTCTTACATTCAGTGAAGTAAAATTACTGTTTTTGTCAAAGACAAAACAGAAATTCCCCAATCCCATCATCTCGTCAGTTAGACATTTTCGTTGCTGTTGTAGTGTAAATGACCCTTCTTCTTCACCCTCAAATGTTTGTTGGCTTCCGGTTTGGTGCAAGCTGCATGATAGAAACATCAACATGACCCCTTGCTCACTGTGAATTCTCTGGACAATGACCTACTCTGTTCACCCATGGGCTCAATTGGACATTACACAGACTTTGTACAAGGGAGTTGGCAGGGTGTGGTCTGTTTAATGTTTGATCCAACTGATTCAGAGATTTGCATTCTCATGTACGGCTCCTCCAGGTAATGTCTAGATAATTTCAGGTTTACAGTACATGTGTGAAAGGGGTCACAAAGCTATCTGTGGTCTACCATTAGGGTTCCCCTAGGTTGTTCCAAAGGTGTACATTTGGTATCCTTTTTACATACGCAGGAGAACAAAGTGAGATTTTCTTGTGAAGATTGTATTGTGATGAAGTTGTTGGCATGTGTGCTTGTTCATGTGTTGGTGAGTGACATGCTGACTCTGTCTGTTTTAGGATGTGGCGCTGACGCTGGACGTTCCTTTGGGTGCCATCAGTCGGGTGGAGAAGATGGGTGGGGCATCAAGCAGAGGAGAAAACTCTTACGGCCTGGATATCACCTGCAAGGTGTGTATGTGTGTGCGTGTGTGTGTGTGAGTGGTAGAGAGGTACAGCATGTGAAATTTCGTTATCTGCTCAATGATAATTTGTGCTTGTACTACCTCTCAGTTTAAAGGTGCCCTGTAGAGCTTTTATGCCTCTGTACCAGCGATAGCTGTGGCTAGAGCATGGGGGTAACATTTAGTGTTACTCACTTAAAGTAACTTTGTCTATCCCTGGGCATTGTTTTACAACTACTGACACAAATCCATAGTACTGCTAGAGGTCAAAAACTCCTCATGGTACTTTTGAGTAATGGCAGCTATCACCGGGCACTCAGCCAGGCATTACTGTGGAAATGTCTGACTAGTGTAGTAATGAGTTTTTTTTAAAAAAGTCTGACAGTGTAATAGGAGTGCAGTGCTAAAGCTGTGGAATCCTCTTTTAAGCTCAGTGACTTTTTATAAAATCATCCAATATCATGCCAATGGAATAGTACCTTTTTTGTGTTGATGGTTAAGTTGCTGATCTTCTCTGTGTTCCTCAGGACATGAGGAACTTGAGGTTTGCCTTGAAGCAGGAAGGCCACAGCAGAAGAGATATCTTCGAGCTCCTCTTCAAATATGCCTTCCCTCTCTCACATAGTCTGGTAAGGCAGCTTCTGACTTCTACTGCCATCTTTTGACTAACACACGGCTTTTCTTGTTTCTGGGGCAAAAATACATTATTCTTTGTTGGGCCAACAGGGAATTCATTTACAAGATGATGCACATGTAGCCACATTTTCTCAGATGGTTTGATCCACATTGGTTGAACAAACCACGATGAACGCTATGAACTGTATATAGAGATGACTTTAAACAGAGGCTCCACTTCCTGTTTTGTGAATATTAGTCCAGTCCTTAAACACTGAGTGTATTTGAAGCAGCAAACTGAGAAACAACGTTTTTCTGCTTACAATCATCCTCCATTTGTTTCCATGCCCAGTGTTCATGCAAATGTTGAATGCCTCCCCCTCATATGCCATGATGACACACAGCTACCACCCACATCACAGCTACATCTGCCTGGTTAATATTTGTGCATGCTAACATTTGTGCCAGAGCTAGCTTTACCAGGGCTACTGTCTCTGTGCTGTTTCTGGTGTGAGCCAGCTGAGACAGTGAAAATCCTCACATTCATCCTGCTAACTACCTCCTGGCTGTATTGGATGCTGGCACTGGTTCATCTTTGAAGAGTGTTTATAGCTACAGTCTCTTACATGATATCCATTGGGGCACTTCTGTCTGGTTCTTTGATTAAAATGTCAGAGCTACAAGCCAATGATAAAAGCCAACCTTGACTATCAAATTTCAATAATAGCCATCCAATCGCAGAGCTTAAAATGCTACATGCTCTACTAACAGTAAATGGAAGCTAAACATTTTGATGTGAAACATCATAAAACATTAAGCAGATCCGGGTTTTTGATTGTGACAACAAAGCAGGACTTTGTAGGGTTTTTTTTTTAGTGCTTATATAATTAGGCGATTACTCAATTTAAAGAAAACAACAATAATTTTGATCTTTAATTAACTGTTACAGTCAGTACGTTTACATGCAGCTTGAGAAAATCAAATTATTGGCTTAGTCTGACTGAAATCGGACTTTTGAATGCATGTAAACAGCTAGGTCCGACTGATATTGGGCTATCCGTAGCTCCAGCACCACTTTTTCTTTCGTGGGCTTTCACCCAGAAGAAGAAGAAGGAGATGACGTAGCAGACATTACACAGACTGACCAATAAAGATGAGGACAAAACTGGGCATATGGCTGGACTGTGGCATGTATAAAATGTAAGAAGGCTTTTAATTTGGAACAGGGAGTGACACCATTCACTAAGTCACAGACTTTAGCTCTTAGTAAAGCGCTGGCCCAAGCCCCCAGTAGGTGCGCTGGGTTTTGAGACCAATTTGACATAGTGGCCAGGCTGAGTAACTACAATTTCTGTGTCAGTCACATGATGCCGATGGGCCCAAAGGACTTTTTTCCCATAGACTTAGATTGGCAAAGAGATGTCTGTAAATCAGTGACACTACACTACACCTGCAAAATGACTTGTTTCATTATCAGGGTTTGATCCATTGGGTTTGATAACATTTTGAAAGTCTAGAAGAGCAGTAAGATTAAATCATTTTATTTCCATTCAAGTTAGCAGAGGGCTAAACTGGAAGTTAGCCCCTCAGATGGAGGAAGTCTCTAATGCGCTTTCTCTTTTGGCCCAATGATGTGGAAGATCCGAGTAATTTTATACCCAGCAAGTTGAACTTTTTTGTCTTCATGTACCACTGAGGAACTTTCACAAGATTGAATGGAGCCCCACGTCCTACCCTGTATCCAGTTCTCTTAATAAATCCATGTTGGCCCCACTGTTGCAGTCACGCAATGAAATGAATGTAAATACATCCTATAATGAACAATAAACATAGATGCAAACACAGCAGAAGGGACCTGCATTTATTAGAGCTGTACCCACTGATCAGTTAACACAACCCTCCCCTCCTCAGCTGCAGCCTGTGATTTTAGGCCTTGCATGACTGGTGGAGGCTGCACAGCCATCGTGGAATAGATTCGGAATGAATGAACAGCATTCATAAACCGAACGGCTGTGTACGCCCCATGAGGACAATAGAGAATTATTGATGGCAGTCATGGCAGACCAATGGTGTTACTAGGCCTGTCATAATTACAAATTTTGCTGGGCGATTAATTGCGTCAGAAATTATTGCGATAAGCAATAATATTACGTAATATTGTACTTTCAAGACCATTTTTATTATTGTTGTAATTTTGCGGTTTTTAGACCATTTTTTGAACTTATATAATGAAAATAAAGGCATAATGATGCAATATACCCTTTTAAAGAAAAATAAACATTTAGAATGCAAAAAAAGAAAATTTAAATATCAAAAATACCAAAATAAATAAATAAATAAAGATCTTGTAAATACAAAAAAAATAGACCCTCAGTCCCTGTTAACAAAAAGTGCACTGTAATAGAAAAAAACAAAACAAAAATGATGATATGGACTCACAGTCTCTTACCAAAAATTGCACTTGAAAAAAACAACAAAAAACAATATATAAATAGACTTTGTCTCTCTTAAGGGGGTGGGGGGCACAAAGATGGCTCTGTGTGTGTGTGTGTGTGTGTATGTGTGTGTGTGTGTGTGTGTGTGTGTGTGTGTGTGTGTGTGTGTGGACTATAGCCCCGCCTCCCCCACAAAGACAGAGAGTTCATTACGCTAATGAACCAACTCACCTGGCTGCCAGACGATGCATGGCAGTGAACGTTCAGTCTCTTTGGTGGAGAGAGACGAGGAAAACAAACACGCATGAATATGGTAATTGATCGCGGCCGGAAAAGTTATCGTCTCCCTTTAATTTTACGGTGCAATTAACAGACTTATCGTATATTGCGACAGGCCTAGGTATTACTTCATCACTCACTCACGCACTCACTCACCCACTCACTCACTTAAACGCAGGCTTTTGTGTTTATAGGGCTGCCCTGGCGTACTGTGATCAGGAATGGATATTAGTGTGGTGAATGGACATTTTCACCGAGCTTCTCCTCAGAATTTTACAAAAAATGTCTTGACCTTAGTTCAGTCACTCTTTTTCTCTCCCAGCAGCAGTCCTGGGGCCTCATTTATATAACTCTGTGGAGAATCCATACTAAATCTTTGCATACATTGAAATCAGTGGCGGCTGCTGGTCTTTCAAGCAAGGGAAGCTCACTTTAAGTTTACATCATAAAATTTGTCATATTGTAGCGAGGCAGTAACTTATAAAAGGAACATTTAATTGAAGCCGTTTTTCAACCACACTCATGCCATAGAACCACAGCAAAACACACCTCAAAGATTTTCAGATGGGTTTAAACACCCTAACCCTTGTTTACAGTGTGTGTTGTGTGTGTATTGTACAAACAGTGAAAATTAGCTATATGGCTTATGGAAATAAAAAACTCCGGAACGCACATTGCCTACATCATTTTGAGCATTTACTCTTGTGCGGTGGTGTGTCTGTGTCACTCTGCAGTTACACCTCCAAAACACTAGTCGGCGGCAGAGGTTTCTGTGAAGTACACAAATCAGCTTCACTATAACTTGCAGCATTCACAGACAAACACTTGTCTTTATCTGGACACATTTTCCCCACAAATACAACATGCTAATGTTATTAGCACGAGCCTATGGCATTGTACATTGTATAAATTAGCCTAGCAACTAGCAATCTTTTCCTCTTCTCATATAAAACCAGGGACAACAGCAACATTTAACAAAGGTAACAGCACACAGTTTGGCTCCATTACAGCTCACAAAGTTCACTGACAAAACAACTGTCACACTAAACACGTATAAATATCCAGATGGGACTGCGCTCGAAATGCGAATCGCTGTCAATCACAAAGGGGTTCAGCCTTTTAGACAATTCCTCCAATCATCATGCATACACCGAGCGTCCTCTCCCGCCTACCGCTCCATTAGGTCCCAGGGAAGCTGAGCCTCCCTGGAAGTGACGATTTTGTCGCATTTATCCAATGACCTTCTCGCTTTGCTGCACGAAAAAACCTGCTCAGCGCTGTCTCATAGAAATGCTTGGAGGCTCCACGTCCACCGTGCTGACACGAGAATGTATGACAAGGAGGTCGCGTTTGAAAACTAGTGATAAACAGCTGACGTTTGAACATCATAGTCAATGTGAAATCCTAGCGCATGTTTAATGCAATGTACCTTCTTATTGTAATGTAAATTCAATAGTGCATATTTGATCATTTCTTCTATGAAATATTAGGGGAAGTTCAGCCTCCCTTGTTTTCTCAGAGCAGTCGCCCCTGATGTATAGTGATTCTTCTCACATGGAATTTTTACAATCTGGCTGCAATTCATCACCTCACCATCTGTGTCACTAGTTTCCCCCGTCTCCAAAATGTACCCATTGCTCTAAGTTGGCCTAGATTTACGCACATTTCCTGGTCAAGTTTTTCTTTAGAAATCCCAACTTATGCTTGGAAAGTGGCTTACACACATTTCAAGACGTTTTTTGTGTGTACACAATGGTTATAAATGAGGCCCCTGGTGTTAAAGAGTAGCGGTCAGTAATCACAAGCTGCCAATGCTCTGACAGGTGTGTGTGTGTGTCTGTGCTGCTGCTATAATACCTTTATGGTGTATAAAAGAAGTGTCTTCCTCTCCCCTCCATACAGCCACTGTTTGCATATGTGACTCAGGAGAAGTACGCCGAGAACGGCTGGGACATCTACAAACCTGTAGAGGAGTTCAGACGGCAGGTAAGGAGGAATACATGTACAGCCTTACAACTTTACAATTACAGTACTTATCAGTACTGTCATTACTGCTACTGTACATCATTTTGTAGTGTAGATGTGTTGTGTAAACAAAACTAGAAGTTTAAAAAATGAATTTGAATAATCTTGCAAAAAGAGCGGACAGTGTTTCAGTGATGATGATCATTGTGTTTTGCAGGGCTTACCTAATAGCAAGTGGCGTATAACGTTCATCAATAAGAATTATGATCTGTGTGACACCTACCCCACTGTGTTGACTGTACCCTTTAAAAGTAAAGAGGAGGACCTCAGAAGAGTGGCTGCCTTCAGGTCAAGAGGACGCATACCGGTGAGCCCCAAAGTCATCTGCACATAAGTTTCATGTTTTTGAAAAAAAAAAATCTTAACTCAGGATCCACTTACTGGAATTTATATTAAGTTCTATGGCATGGAAAAATAATATATTCAGGCTTTGGATACACAGACAGTACTTGTTATTAGAATCAATACATGTTGGTTTGGTCTGTTCATGGACATTATTGAAAAAAACAAACATAGAATAACACCAGCATTATCGTTTGAGTGGGATGCATTGGAAAAACTGTGAAAGACTCAGACTGTTAACAGCAATTTGGGGGAAGATTTCAACAACTAGTCCTTACAAGTAGCTCTGTTCTGAGGGGCAAAGGGGCACTTGAAAACAAGGGGTCAGGATTTAAACAAGAAATGGGATTGGAACTAAGTGTGACCTGTGGTTTCTTTGGTCTGCCCTAGTGCCCATTACCTTGAGGCCGCCTTCTTTGCTCTGTGCTTTTAAGCAGTTTATCATGACTTTGTTGCCATCACAAGTCACCTGACAGTGAGTCCATGTCCTCCAGTACTGACCGGTCTTTGTGCCTTAGGTTTTGTCATGGATCCACAGAGAGAACCAGGCGGTGATCGTCCGCTGCAGTCAGCCTCTGGTTGGTATGTCTGGTAAAAGAAACAAGGATGACGAGCGCTACCTGGATCTTATCAGGGAGGCAAATGACACTGCCAAGCTCACCATCTACGATGCTCGGCCTAGCGTCAATGCTGTGGCCAACAAGGTTAGAAGAGAAAGGAAGTACCCTCAGGGGTTAGAATCAGCTACTGGCCACATCACCATGACATTTTTGAATATAGTAGTAGTATCTAGAATTGTCTTTATAAGGTGATTCCCAAGGAAACACTTTTGTTCATGTCTAGTATCTCAAAAACCACACTTCAATATATTTATGGTGAATGTTAACAGCCCTCTAGACCGTCTTTGGTGGCCCCATACTGTCTCTGATGTTTCCATATGTTAATTGGATTAGTGCACATCTTCTGTTACTGTTAAGGATTTCTTTTTTAATTTTACCTTTTTTATCGGTTACTGTCTTTGCTATCCCCAGGCCACAGGAGGAGGCTATGAGGGTGACGAGTACCAAAACGCAGAGCTCATCTTCCTGGACATTCAGAATATCCATGTCATGAGAGAATCCCTAAAGAAACTCAAGGACATCGTCTACCCAAATGTGGAGGAATCTCATTGGCTGTCCAGTCTAGAGTCGACACACTGGCTAGAACATATTAAGGTAAGACAACAGTGTCTGTGCACACATGAATGTCATCATATTATTTATGCCCTGGGTTTGTCTGTCTGTCCATCTGTCCCATTCTCGTGAACATGGTATCTCAAGAACGCCTTGGGGGGAATTTCTTCAAATTTGGCACAAATGTTCACTTGGATGTAATGATAATCTGATTAGAATATGGTGGTCAAAGGTCAAGGTCTCTGTGACCTCACAAAACCAGTTTTTGGCCATAACTCAAGAATTCATACTGTAGTTATGACAAAATTCCACACAAATGTCCAATAGGATTTAACCATAAAGTGATGACACTTCATATCCAAAAGGTCAAAAGTCAACTTTAAATGAATTATGGTACTTCTAAATATCATGGTACACCTTAAAACTGGTATGTCGCTGCAACCCTAATACAACTGTAAGGTGGTAATTCTAGTTATTTGAAGTATTGTGGCTTTGTGGCCTGTCATTACATGTTTTCTAAAAGTGTTTTTTTGTGAACGCAGCTGGTGTTGTCAGGAGCCATCCAAGTAGCAGACAAGGTTTCCAGTGGGAACTCAGTGGTGGTTCACTGCAGTGATGGCTGGGACCGGACTGCCCAGCTCACCTCTTTGGCCATGCTGATGCTGGACAGTCACTACCGCACTCTCAGAGGCTTCCAGGTCAGTAACTTCAGAAACAAGAACAAGCAAGGGGAAACTGCTCATCCACACCAAAAAGCAGCACAGTAAGCTGTATATGCACTGTTACAGTGGTTTTACTCTACTTTAAAGTAATTGGGTGTCACTTGTTAAAGCTGTAGTATCACGAATGGACAGAAAGTGAAGTTTTGTGCTGTTTCAGGTGCTGATTGAGAAGGAATGGATCAGCTTTGGGCACAAGTTTGCCTCGGTAAGTAACATTTTTACAGCCTCTGTCTTTAAGATGATCTTCAGCTATGTGTGTTAATTAACCCATATTCAGTCCTGTCAGAGATATTTTAAAGCAGTATTGAGTTTGACATTTACACAAAAAAATGATTCAACTGACTGCTAAAATAGTTAACTCTCCTGTTAATCATTTAATTTGTGTGTGTGTGTGTGTGTGTGTGTGTGTGTGTGTGTGTGTAGAGGATAGGTCATGGTGATAAGAACCATGCAGATCAGGACAGATCACCCATCTTTGTTCAGTTCATCGACTGTGTATGGCAGATGACTAAACAGGTATGTTTAATGCACAGAAGGTTGCACTCATATAGTGATGTAAGCTCAAAAGCATTTTTATCATTCGTCATGTGGTGGTTACAAAGAAGCAGTTAGACCAAGAAAACATGGGGAGGGTTTTTTGTTGACACGTTTTGCTTGACCCAGTAGTTTGGGTTTAATCTAATTAAATCCTGTGTCACAAACAAGCCCTCTGAAAAGATACTGCAGCCCTTACTCAATTGTGTAAGCACAATAACCAGCGCAAAGCATTAAGGTCTTAGATGCATGGACTGTGTGGGCATCTTAATCTGCTGTTTTGGTTTATGTGGGTGCAGCAGCTCAAAGTGCAAAAAGGCTCAATACAAATATAGAATTAGTGGTAAAAACAGTGGTGATGTGCAGTTCAACCTGCAACCTATTGGTCCAGCAGTTCGGGCGGTGCTGGTAAGCTTGTTACACATTATTGCGGGTTTCTGGCGGTCGGGTCATTCAGTGACAAAGCAGCATTCTGAGTAAGTTATTAGTAACTTACAGAAACATTTTAACAATAGTCCACCCTCCACCTTCTCTTTCTGTCTCTGTCTCCCTAAAACACACACAAAAAGCAGCTTTATCATCAGCGCTGCCGCACTCAGGGTTGTTGTAATTCGATTTTTGACCAGGAAAATCTGTCAGAGTCTGACATATTTAAGTCTTCTCACTTATCATGTCCAGTGAAAATATTTCCTGCTGAGGATATAACAAAAATAAGATCCTGAGCTTCATTATTGTATGGCAGTGCTATTACAAAAACAGGGAATGTATCTTAAAGACCAATCCACCAAAGAGAGTCTCCTTATGTGAGATCTGAGGTCAGATTTATAACTGATTAACTCTCCTCTTCTCCTCTCCTCAGTTTCCTACAGCCTTTGAGTTTAACGAGCGCCTCCTGCTGACAATCCTGGATCACCTCTACAGCTGTTGTTTTGGGACTTTCCTCTACAACTGTGAGAGTGCACGAGACCAGCATGTAAGATGGGATGTGAAACTGCCTGCTCTGTTTCCCTACAGCATGCATGCAAGCATGCTTTAATTTTACTTTGCCGTGCATGTGAGATTAAAATGTCTCACAGTTCCACCGTCTCTGTTGTGTAGGAGGTGCGGACGAAGACGGTGTCTCTGTGGTCTCTGGTCAACAGTAAGATGGAAATGTATTTAAACCCTTTCTACACCCCAGAGTCCGGAAGGGTCCTTTACCCCGTTGCCAGCATGCGCCACCTAGAGCTGTGGGTAACATACTACATCCGCTGGAACCCACGCATACGACAACAGGTACGTGTTTGTTAAAATATACTCTGACCTGCTCTGGGATCGCTGGGTGCCTGGAAGCCATGGCAGTATTTACTTCTTGACATGGTAGATGACAAGACAAGGCATCACAAATTACTCACTAAGCTGACTGAGTAAATACGTGTCTGTCTTTTGCTACTCAAGTATCACATACACTGTAAGGAAAGATTTCAAGAGTTAAAGGGCCAGTGTGTAATATTTGGCATGGTTTATTGTCAATCTGAATCTGAATCTGAATATTCTACCCATTAATATGTTTATATAAGTATATAATCGCTATAAAATAAAATTCGTTTGGTTTTCGTAGCCTTATAATTATGCTTTTATATATATATATATATAGCATAGGCCTTGCTTTAGAGAGGTCGCCATCTTGCGCCTCCATGTATGTAAGGCAGCCCGAGCGGACAATCCAGCCAGCCAGAGAACGCGTTTCGTGTGTATAAATGAACCAACGAAGACAGCGGAAGGAAGGAAGAAGGAGGAGGAAACAGCAGAGAGTGTTAGTAGTTCGTCGATAGAGAGTAGTGAAAAGTTTTTTTAGTTATAAAGTTTGCAAATGGACCACACTTACCACGCAACAGGAGAGAATGAACCTGAACCGTCATCTGCGAGGAAAAGAAGACGCAACTTCACTCCTTGTGATGCACTCTCTGCGGCGCTTTTCCTCCTGATGATATATCTCCCCAACGATGGCAGCAGTAGCACTGAATCCCATTCTCACCCGCTCAGCATCAAACACATGGAGTTCCTCATCTGTATGCTCCGGCTCAAACAGGTATGGCTCTGGCTCTGTGTCTGCTACAAGAAACTCTTCAAAATTGCGTTCAAAGTCGTCCATTGCAGCTACTATATATCGCTAGGCTAAATAAACAGCTGAGCTCTGTTTACAGGCTACGCTGTCAGTCAGTGTGCGGGCTGGAGATTGAGCAGAGAGGGGAGGGGGGTCCCCACTTAGGATGGTAAACGAGTATGTGTGTAAAGTTATGGAGTGTGTGTGTTACGCTAGAAGAGTCAGAGTTTGGGACGGAGTCTTTTACCCCCTGGAGTGTTACCGGAGTTTCTGGAGTGCTCAAATAAACGGGCCTTTTTCCCGAACGCTCCTCTGGTCTCCTGCTCATGAGTGATTCATTACAATATCGTAACATGGCTTAGATTTCTAAATAAACATTCACCTCGTCGCTAGATAGACCTACTCCTGAAAAACTCGTGCGCAAGGCTTTTTGTCCCTACGAGGCCACCGTCATTTACCCGACGGGAGGGGTGAGCGAGTGAGCCCTGCAATCTAGAATTTGACCACTGATATCACTGTTTTCAACCCATTTTACACACTGGCCCTTTAAATCAGAATATTTTAAGAAAAGTTTTAATGTTATGGGAAGTCATCTTAAAAAGAAAAAGTCTTACAGAGATAGTATTATTAGAAAATGTTTCCATTTTCTCAATGTAGTCAACAGTCCAAAGTAGGATGCACCAGTAGTGAAATTCTCAGCTGATCCAGATGTTTAAAATAACTGTAGGGAACAACAATAGTAGTCCTCACAGACGACACCAAAAATGTAAGGAATGTACTGGGTATTAAAAAAAGCAGGAATATTATTTGTTGGAAATCTGTAACAATACTATGTGTCACACGGGAACACCAAAATGTTGTGATCTAGGCACCAGTGCTATCTTTTACATGGCGGCACCATTTGTTGGGACTTGAGCCTTAACACAGGACTGACCTCGTAATAGATCTCCAATTAAATGTCATGAAAAACACACAAGAACCATTGATGTCCTACCAGTTAAGTTTTCTGCCATTTTGAAATTTTTGAAAAATACATTTTTGACATCATCTCTTAAACCGTAGGTCCAATTTGTACCAGATTTTCTAATCACTATATGAGGCTTATTTAAAGTTATCAAAAGCTTGTTAATATCTCATTGTGTTTTTAAGATATTGACCAGTAAACTTTAGAAGGGACATGGTTTAGCTCGTAAAGAGACCTAACTTCATAACCATTAAAGGGAAATTTCGGTTTATTTCAACCTGTCTCCTATCATCCTAAATTTGTTTCAAGTGACTAGTGACATAAAAATAATAGTTAGCATGTTAGCCATTAGCCTAGATACAGCCAGGGAGCATAGTAGCGTCAGACCTGTTAAAACGTAAGTGAATGGGCATACCTTCAAGTGCAAAGTTGATTCGTCCTGGCTGTATCTAGGCTAACGGATTACATGCTAACTATTATTTTTATGTCACTAGTCACTTGAAACAAATGTAGGACGATAGGAGACAGGTTGAAATAAACCGAAATTTCCCTTTAAGCCAGTCATCACAAAAGTTGCAGGGTACGTCTAAAGAGGTACCAGTAACATATCCTTAAAGTTTCATTTAAATTGTCCACCAGGGGTTGCCAAGAATGCAAAATGTGGAAGTGACAAAACACAAATTAGACTAATCAAAAATTGTTTGTCCTATCATTACAAAACTTGCAGGATATGTTTAATAATAATGTTGAACCACATTATTGACATTATTTTGAAATTAGTCAAAAGGGGGCATTACAACATCACGCAAAACACCTTTTTGACATCTCCTCCTAAACCATAGATCTAATACAAACCATATTTTTTGTGGATCATCATAAGACAAAGCTTATCAAAAGTTAATAAAAGCTTGCTGATATTTCATTGCGTTTTGAAGATACTGACAAATGAACTTGGCCTGGCTCAGTACATAAGTAGACCAAACTCCACAACAATCATCACAAAACTTGTAGGATATATCCACATAAGTACGTTAAACCTATTGGCCTGAACGACGCACAGTGCGTCCAAATTCACACCTGTTCTTCTATGTGGATTTTCTCCACGACTGTACGTCATAGCGAGAAGCCACGCATATCACGTGAAACAGCGGAACTGTAGCTTTCCGACAAAACCAACTTACTTACTTGTCGGTAATCCAATGTTTTCATAGCAAAAATAATTGACAAAGTGATAATAAAATGATGTATAACAGAGCTTTCATACAGCTTTGCACACACATTACTCTTGGATGGATTACTCGTGAACGCAGGCTCGCACAGAAATGCCACGTCACCTTCCAACTTGCTATGCTGAGATACATGTAAAAATGTAAGAATTTAGGCACATGGATTTGTTTTTTTCATTGATATAAAAATTAATAGAAAATACAGGCACATAGAAGGACATGGAATGATGGCAAATCTGGTTAGCCCAGATTGTCCTGAAAAAAACAAGATATAACGTGTATGTAGCCTTTATAATGACTGTGATATGAGCTTAAAGTAAAGGCAGTAAAAATACCCCAAAAAGGCCTAGGGCCCATAGGGTTAAACACATTCTGAACGTTTCATTCAAATCGACCACTCAGAGGCGCTACAAATGTAGAAATGGGCGTGGCATAATACAAATCAGACTATAAATCAGAAATTGTCAGTCAAATCATTCCAAAACTTGCAAGATGTGTTGAATAACAACACTGAACCACATGTGTAAAATTATTTCAAAATTGGTCAATTGGGGCACCATTAGTTACAGACTTTTGCAAAAATTTGGCCATAATTAATGGCAGTTTGTCCAAACAACCACACTCAATGGATATTTTTAACTAAGCCATCTCACAAAATTGAGCTTAAGCAATTGACCAACAGGAAGTGACAGTGGTGCAAAAGAAGAGGGTGGGACAGCACAGATTTGGATGAAAATGAATGAGCATCTGTATGATGGTCATAAAACCTATTCAATCAATCAATTGTATTTATAAAGCCCAATATCACAAATAACAATTTGCCTTGGGGCTTTATAGCATACGACATCCATCTGTCCTTTGGATCCTCACAGCAGATAAGGAAAAATTCCCCCCAAAATAACCTTTAATGGGGGAAAAAATGTAATGTATTTTATTGTATATACAGTATGTGAATTCAGTGCAATCTCTGTTAGCTGTTAGTTCCAGCCACATTCAGCTAACAGCTATCAGTAGCTAGCTCTCCTCCTGTCAATGTCAGCACAGATTTGTCGCACACCACATAGCATTATCAAGGAAACAGGAGGGTGCGTATCCTGACACATTGATAATGTGTCATTCCGTCCCGAAGGCATCCTAAGGAAGATCTCTCTTTGGCCCAGGCATGTTTTCTGTTGTCCCTGGAATGACAGGGCGTCAACATTTGAAATCTAACAACCTTTCTTTTATTTGATTAGATAATAATTATAAACTACACAGTCGCATCAAAGCTGCCACATTTTCTAATGATGACATATAATAAAAAGTCAGACAGGTAAAATTGTAATGTTTTAAAACCAATGACAAATTACTAGGGATGGGCAACACAAGCAAAAACACTATTCGAAAATCGTGGCAACTATTCGACAATTTTTCGTATAATCGCCCCCCGGAGCCATGCACACAGAGATCCATTCATCTTTAAAGGCCCGAACATACTTGGGCGGAACGGACTGCGCGGAGGTCTGCACGGACTCAAAGCGGACGTCCGCAAGCCCTGTGCACGCACACTGGTGACTGCTCGGCATGTATTTTTCACATCGCGAGGATTTTTCACGGACATTTTTACAGGAAATTACAACGCGGACGTGCGCTCGACTATGAAAGCCCGAATGACTGCGGACGTTCCTCGTGGAGTAGTAGTCTCTGCATGTTTCTCCTGTTTGTAGAAGAGCATCAAACTAGCTGGTAGCCCATCTCACACCGCTGTAGCAATCCTAGACTGCCCTCGTGCGGTTAGGAGCTGAATTGCATGTCAAATATAGGGGGAGAAATAAGACGGCGAATAGTAATAGTCGCATTAAAAAATCGATTTTTCGAAAAATAAAACGACTATTCGAAATTCAAAAATCATGACCCATCCCTACAAATGACCTTTGTTGGTTTTGTTACTGGATGCACCAGGAGGTGTATTATTCATTGTGTGTGTGTGTGTGTTGTGTGTTGTGTGTTGCAGCAGCAGAGTCCAGTGGAGCAGCGCTACAAGGAGCTGTTGGCCCTCAGAGACGAGTACTTGAAGAAGCTGGAGGAGCTGCAGCTGTCTGACTCCTCCCCTTCCTCCCGTCTGGCTAACATCCCCACCCCCAACACCTCCTCCTCCACCTCCTCCACACCACCACAGCAATACACACAGCTACACACTCCCCTCTGAGGGCTGCTTACATACGCACACACATACACAAACACAGATAAACTTGTTGACTTGCACTTATGTCCTCTTCACTCTGATTTCTGTCAGTCTCTCACACACGCAGGGAATTAATTAGTATTGTGCAGTCCTAACTGTTGATAACAGAGAATGCTAATAAGATTTAGATTTGATGGGTAATTCTAACACCATAGTGGTGATGATGGTGATTTATGCAATATGTCACAGTACAGCCTTGTCAGACTTTTCTACACACACACTCATCATACAGGGAAGCCTTAAAGACATTCAGTGGCTTTCAGTCCAAGGGCTTGAGCACACAGGACACACAGCGGATGTGCAGAGGCATTCACACAGGCAGCAAAACTCAGCCATGTTATGTGTTTTCTCTGAACGTCATACTCTGATTTGACAGAAACACACCAGGAAATCTGTTTGTGTTTTTTTCTAATCGCCATAGAACCACATACATCTGCTATAGGTAGATCCCGTTACTCCCACTCTTTTTGCTAAGCGAGGCTAACCATGTCGTTGACCTATCACATCAAACTGATGTTGATATTCTCATCCATCTAGTTGAGTGTTAAAGTTCATTTTTAACCATGGAAAGAAATTTTAACTCAGGGTCTCAGCTTTCAAATAAAGTTAATGGGTAAGTTTGGTATTTTAAAACCTGGACCCTATTTTCCCATGTTTTTGTGTCTAAGTGACCAATTGGAAGAACAATTTTTGGAATTGGTCAAGACAGGCTGCAATATAACCATTCAGGGCATGGTTGCACTGTCACTTTACATCCACTAAAAGTGTTTGTTTTGCCACTGACAGGCTCAGATTATTATTCCATGTGTCTGACAACATTATGGAAAGGATCCCTACAGAGATAGACCTTTTGTTAAAGACTAAGATCCCTTTTTGTGAAACTTGAAACAGCCCTGAAATCACTGTTGTCAAAGTCACCAGACTCCATTTAAACAAAAAGTAATTTTATCACCGTAAAATACACTCCATTCAAAGTTGACAGAAACAAAATAAAACTCAAAAAACCTATCTTAGTTCCTTTTGTCACTGTTACAACAATCACCAGCTCTGGTTTGGTTGAAATAAATCCTTAAAAAATATGCTGGCTCTATACACTCTAAAATTACTGTTAATTTAAATGGAGTCTGGTGAGTTTGGCGATTGCGATTTTCGGGGTCGTTCTGGTTAAACAAAGTGATCATTACTCTTTAACAAAAAGGTTTATCTCTGTAGGAATCCGTTCTATAAATTGTCAGACACAATAATAATCTGAGCCTGACAGTTGCAAAAACAAGCGCTTGTAGTGGATGCAAATTGACAGTTTGGGCGATGGCGATTTCTGGGCTGTTTCTGCTTAAACAAAAAGGATCTTTCTGTCTAAAAAAAGGTCTATCTCTGTAGGAATTCTTTCCATAAATTGACAGACAGTGGCAAAAACAAGCACTTTCACAGGATGAAACGGTGCACACATGCATCAGGTGGTTACATTGTTGCCTGTTTCCCTGCTGCCTGGCTGCAGCACCCTCACGCAATATTGGACATCACTCGGACACAAAAACATGGGAAAATAGGATCCAGGTTGAAAAATATCAAACTTATCCTTCATGCAAACTCCACTCACTGATGAAAGACCCTGTGATGCTGTTATTATTTTGCCAAGCAACAACAAACATGTTTATGTGTTAAAATTTAAAGAGGTAAAAAAAAAAAGGTGAAACTTTTGTCTTTGTGAGGTGGGCTCCTGCCCGCGTCCTGCTACACAAGCGTGGGTGTCCTGTGTGAACAAAGCGAAATGCTAATCAAGATGTTGTACAATTCTCACATCTCACACTTCTTCCTACTTGCTGCACTGCTACTGCGTGTTGCCCTTTCCCTCGAGGAATTGATAAGAAGTGCTGTAGAGCTCGTGCAGCGAATTGGGAGGCTTTGAGCTTCTACAGTGGATGTCACTGTATGTCTCCAGCTAAGTGTATATATCAGGTGTGTCAGATTTGGATGGAGTGATGTGGAATTTGTTGCTTAACATCTAAGGGTGAAAGCTCGAGTTGTCTCTGTCACGTGTGGTTTGATATTGCTATCAGCTACGCTCACCGAAGCAGTATGTTCCAGCACTTTCTAAGCTATGGCGCTGATAGTAAATGCAGTTCTAGCCTACAGGCAGAGTTAGGTTAGAATGAATCAGTGATTTACTTTGATGAATGCAGCTTTGATATGGTTTGAAATATATTTTAGGTGCTCAAGATAGTCGAGGGAAATGAAGTGGTGCTGGCCTCTGATCCTGGATCACTTCTTGTGCTTTGATGTTGTCACTAAACACAGACCCTGGATGGAGAAACCAGCCCAGGTCCATGATAGCCTTACCATGCCAAGATGTTTGTAACCAGCACACAGAAATACCAATTAGCTCTCACTCCCCTTTAAATACACTTTTTGTAGACCTGACTGTTTCTAGTTATTCTATCCACCCCCACTGTAAAGTCTCATGTGAACACTCACATGTAATCTCATAAAACATGTGCCTTTTGGACAGGAGTGTTTTTTCATCCCACATTTAAGTTGGATATCATGTGCCTCAGTTTTTACATTAGAAAGGAAACTTTAAGTCAGTGAATGAAATATTGTTTGCCAGAATACATCTTTGTGTAGCATATTGACTATTGGTCTCCTCAAACATCAGCATGGAAATTGATGCATAACATGTTATAACTGATCAATATAGGGAAAGCTATAAAAAAAAAAGGTGAAGTCGTAAAGGTAGAGGAACTAGTCTTGATTTTTACAGAGAGTAACTTCTGGCAAATGTAATGTTCATGTTGAAAATTTAATGGAAGATAATTTCTAGCAGAAAAAGAAAAAATGGATGCAATGTTGAAATGGCAAAAAATAGAAATATTGATTATTATAGGATACCAGGTTTAAATTATGACAAAAGTAATTGATGAGTCTTTTTTTTATCTCATGCTATCTTGTAATTTTGATTCACTGTCTCAAAAGTATGATGTAGTGTCTCATAAATCTGACTTAAAGGTACACCTTGACTTTTAAGTTGCAAAAAATGACTTAAAGTCAAAATCTTGACTAATCTCATGATTATGACTTAAAGGGTAACTTTGGTATTTTTCATCCTGGACTCTGTTTTTGCATGTATTTGTCTCTAAGTGACTCATGGGAGCAACATTTTTTGAAATACTTTACAGTATTAAGTAAGAACACTGCAGTCAGCAGCAGTGAAACATGCTGTAGTGTAACCACCCTTGCCTTGTTCTCACTGTCAGTTTACAAAATTAAAAGTGCTTGTTTTATGCCACTTACAGGCTCAGATTGCATCATTGTTTCTGACAACATTGTCTCTACAGAGATAGAGCTTTTTGAACTTTTTTGTTTTACATAGACAGACCCAAATTTGCCATTGCCAGATACTGTCAGTGGCAAAAGCAAGCACTTTCAGTGGATGTAAATTGGCAATTTGGGCAAAGGCGAATTTTTTTTTTTTTTTTTTTTTTTTTTTGGCTGTTTCTGGTTAAACCCAATGAACCTTACTCATTACAAAAATGCCTATCTCTGTAGGGATCTGTTCAATAAATTGTCAGACACAATAATAACCTGAACATGACTGTGGCAAAAACAAGCGCTTGTTGTGGATGCAAATTGACTGGTTTGGTGATGGTGATTTCTGCCCTTTTTTTGCTTAAACAAAAAGGATCTTACTCTCTAATAAAAAGGACTATCTCTGTAGGGATCATTTTTATACATTTTCATAGGAATATGGGAAAATAGGTTCAGGTAACAAAAAAAAAAAATAACGAAGTTACCCTTTGATACCTCATCATTTTGACTTACCTTGAGTATTTTTATTTATAATTTCACTTTTTTCCTGACTCAAATGAGCTTTTATTTAATTCCCCAAAAAGAACACATCGCATCCAACCTGTCCAAAAAGCACATTGTTTAATAGTTGTCTCTTTGGGTTCTGGGGCTGTCATGGAACCGGTGCATACAGAGCAGTGTGCAGAGTCAAACTCAGGACATCACATGGACAACAGTGTGTGGGGGGTTTAAAGAGGGATGTTGGAAACAGAGTCAAACTGCCTGATATGAGGATTTTGCTGCTAACTCCAAGGGCTCCCATTTTGGTTAGTTTAAAAACAGCTGACACAAACTTGGACAGCAGAATAATGGCCAGCATGCTGGTAACACGTCTGTCAAAGATATATGTACTGTATCGTTCAGTCTGTCAAGATGATGACAGGGCTGTTTATTACAATCACTCTTGAGTTTAAGTTGTCTGCCACCATATTTTTTCTCAGTCTGGTAGTCCTCAGTCTCTGGCACTTTATTCCAACATGGGCCACTTAATAAATAACTGGGGCTTGATTACTGGAATACTGTAAGTTGAGGATTTGAGTGTGATATTGTGTGTTGCCAGGACATGATGATCCCTCAGAGAGAAAATGAATAACTTGTCTAATGCTGATGTGTTGTTTTGGCAATGCCAGCTGTGGGGTCCATCACTGAAAGCAACAATAAAACCAATGGATAGCTATTAAGAGGAGTTCCAGACCTGGTCCTGGTCGCAGTTTAGCTTTAACACTGCAACAATCTTGTGCTCTGGCTCCATACCCAAGCGAAGCCGCTCAGAACTAATACAGGGTAGATACACCTGGAAGTCTACTTGGACCACCACTGTAGATCATGTCCACCTGGCACTATTTTTGTAACATTTCATAAAAACCTCCTTCACAAATGAATGTTATGCTTCAATACCCCAGAAGTTCTAGGGTATTGGCAGTCTGTCTGAATGGGTTATGGCACATCAGCTGACCCTTCTCCTGACTTGGGTTGAACACTGGTTGAACATTGGTGTTTGGATGTTTCTTACCAAATCTCTCTTGTTGTAGTCATCTCCACTTTGTATGATGTACACAGGACATAGAGTAGCCACGTTTCCACCAAACTCTCTCAGTATAGTACCCTTAGAACTCGTACATAACCCATACATGCATGTACCTAAACCCTAGATCTGTTTTGTGTTTCCACAGCAGACAGTACTCTTAAATGTAGCAGGGTTGTTACCAGATGGTGATTGACACATCACAGCTCCATCCAGTCACTCCACTTACTGTATTTTCTCTTTACTAACGATGCAGAGGAAGGTCTGCACCTCACTGATTGTGCGCCAGCATTTTCAGAACGAAAAAGAATAGGCTGGAGTGCTTAAAGTCTCTGTCGTAAATAGTGGGTTTGTGCATTGAGTCCTTGTCAAGCAAGGGTAACAGTTGTCTCTTGACCAGTAAACAGACTACAGTGTTTCTAGCTGCACTTTTTGGTATCGGATCAATCTGTGAGGTACCTGAGCAGAGAGGTAACAAAAAAAACATGACGTAATGGAACGGTCCTTTTGGAACCATCCACAACTTTTGATAATGGGCATGCAAAGATAACTGTTCTAATGTATAACAAACTGAACTGAACTGAACCAGAATGCTTGGTGGAAACGAGGCTAATAGGATTTTACCTCTGGGACCCTTAATGCCCAAAGTATTTCCTCCCAATTTGCTTTTCTACAGCATCATCAAGTCCTAAATAAGCAGAGAGGAATTTTAGTTAAGGAGGTTCAGAAAAAGCCAGCTCAGACTCCAATTTCCCTCACATTGTTTTGTTCAACTCATAGGGTTTTAGCAAGTCAGAAGCAATGAACAGTGGTGATAGTTTCAATTGTGAATGAGGTGCAATAAGTCATTTTGCTAAGTGTGTCAGGTCATGTCCAGATTTGTGCCTTGATTCTTGTGAGAATCACCTTCACCTCTTAAGGGAAAACACACTCTAGCTATCCTGGGTCATGTTTGAGATTGACTGCTCTGGGTTCCAAAGGAAGAAAGCTCTGTATGATTTTGAAGGATGCCATGCTGTTGTTTATGGATCTGTGCCAGTTTGAAGTGGGAGGAAGTGGGCGGGCAATGCAGGCATTCCTCCAGCAACTACAGATTGCAGAGGACAGGCCAAGGTACCTTTCCCTGTGTTAAAGAAAGCCTTTGTTTATCTCCTCCAAATCCTACACTGTGTGACTCTGCAACAGATCACATAGTAGCAAGAAAAAGTACAACTTTTCTGGTTGAACTTTAAGGGACCCTGTTGGCCCACTGTAGTTAAGATTGTTTCCTCAGTGCATTTATTACAGAGATACAGAAGGTCCAAGGCATATTCAGTTTAGTGCAAATCTTCTGTCTGAACTGAAGATATGTTTTTCAAAGCTGCCTTACTGATGAGGATATTGTGAGCTTGCAAGCCAGTTACCAGTCCATCCAAGAGCCATCTTGGCTTTGTTAAAAACTCAACTGTGCCCAAACCTGCTTTGAGGACAAAAAATAAGGACCCAAAGCTATATTTCAATTGCTACTGGTCCTCAGCTTGCCAGGTAGAGTTGCTACAATGTTGTCAGGATACCAGTCTTAAACTTCACTTCAGTACTAGTATAGAAAAAAATGATACTTATTAGCTCTTTTGATACCATGGCAAAGAGAAAGAAGTCTTTAGCACACAAAATAGGATAATTTTTGTTTTGTTTTTTTAATGAACAACTTGCACAAAATGCTGATAGAGAAAGTCACTTTAGACATACCAACAAGTTTGTAATAATGCTAATAATTATGACAATTGAAATCTGATTGTAGATCTGTTTTTAAGAGCTTAGTGATACTATCAAATAAATAATTAATGGGTATCATATAGTTTTAAACACTTGGTATGGAAAAAGCATTGATACTTTTGACCACCTTAATGGGGACACTGACTGAGTCTTTTCGCTCTGGCAACTCTGCCTCAGCTTTATGTCGTTATCTCCTTCTGCTGTTCTACCAGGGGTCCTTGAGGGAGTACCAGGGAGTTCTTAAAAAATGAGAAATAGTTTATTATCATTATTTAATTCACAATAAAAGTGAGCCCAAATTGAGTAAAAGTCAGGAGAATGACTATTCTGATTGGTTATCTACTCAACTGTAGTTGACAACTATAGAGTATTTTCAGATGGAGGTCCCTGAAGGAAACTCTTATCAAATGGAGGTCCGTGACTTATGTGTATCAATTTCAAGAAGGTCAAGGACCACTGATCTAAAGAATATAACCAATCAAATTTTAACAAATGGCAGTAGTACAGTACAATCCGATTCAACACTGAAATGACCTAAGAGCGCATTTTAGTGAAACTGTATCATTAAATTGTAAAGATATGATTGTTCCACCCTGTAAAGGTACATTTCCTAACCATGCTAGGAGGCACAGGATTCTCTGTTGAATTTCAAAACCTTAACAGTGAGCTTGAAAAAACAGTGGTGTAGTGGAGGGGTTTACCCACCATGTTTTCTGGCCCTTTACAGTATACCCATCCATCAGCCAAAGACCCATTGGAATACATAGTATATCCATTTCCTCCTTAGTAACCTACCCATTTGCCCAGTAGTACACACATCTCATCAACTACCACTACACCACTGTCAAGGAACATCTGTTGTTCTGGTTATACTTAAGGTGCACTCAACACTGTATGGACCTTTGAAACTGAGGTATCTCGGCAAGAGGTTTTTATGTTTCATTTGCACCTGCCAAAAATCATGCCACCAGCACAAACAGGTTCCAATCAACAATCTCGATTTTGGATGAGTACAAATGTAATTCTGAGGATTGGCCAGCAGATGTCACCAAAGCTTTGCTGTTGTTACACATTGATTTGTTGTAGTTGAGCCTAATGATGGCAGAAACAGACTGACAAAATTAAGTACTGAAGTTTCAAGAGAGAATGTGACTTTGGTTACCTGCAAGTATGTTAAATCTCAAACATGACCTTTTTCTGTCTGGATGGGTCTGGGTGGGCAGATAAGAGAGAGCAACCTGATTCCTGTGTTCACAGAGAGGTGAATTAACATAGGTTCTACCAAATGGATACTTATGACAAGTCCTCTAAGAAAGGTCTGATCTCACTGAGGAGGTTTGTAGGTAACAACACAGATGAGGTGAAAGCAACATAAAGTGTGCATTGGTCGGGTGGTTGTGTTTTTAGGGAAAAACAGATGAAAATCTATTTTTATTATTTTTTACTTTGTACAAGCACCATGATGTAATTACCTCAATCAAAACCTATTTTACTGTCTAAAGTTCTATTGTTGTAAAATACAATTATTTTATGTAGTGTAAAATCTTACAGTTTTATAAAAAGGAAAGTAATGTTGGTTCAGAAATTGTTGGTATAAATTGTGGATTTCTGCTCCATTGGTTAAATTTTGTTTGTTTTATTTTTGAGGGCATTTCTTTGGTTTGTACTTGCTAACCCAGGATGAATAGACAGAAGCTTCTGGATACTGTTCACTCGTCACAAACCTTGACATCTCCCTCTCAGTTCTCTGATGGATCTTTAGCTTTTCAATTCACTATGGCTCTTTGTTGATGAAGCTGAGAAGTACTCTGTCATTGTTCATTTCAAATGTAATCTTTCATTATAGTAGGGGGTTGTAGTTTGAGGGGTTTTGTGTCATAATATAGCCTGCTTTTTAATAAATACACATGAAATGTGTTTCAGGATCTTTTTGTCATCAACAAGGGAAAGTGAAATCAGAATACATTTCAAATGTATTTCTTTTAATCATGTTATATCCTCTCCACGGTTTGTTGGATGGGTCCTGTTATGTAAATATTACTGATTAAATTAATTTAAGGATTTCTGACTCTGTCTCTTTGCATGTCTCGTTTATTCAACTATTTATTTTGTTTTTGTTTGTTTGTTTAGTTCACCTTGTTTTTCAGGGTGGTCCTTTCTTAGTGCATCCACACATTTTACCATGAGTAAAGATGCTGAAAATACACAATATATTTAGGTGAGAAAGTAACCTTGATTAACAGTGCACTCTTATTTTGAAAGGTAAAGGTGAAATAAGTAGAGTTGTAAACCCTGATCAGCATTCATTATGACTGACTGAGTGCAGACTATGTGACGGCAGTTACATAAGGTTAAGTGTGTTTGGAATCCTCCTAGCATGCAACAGTCTGACTTTATGTTTGTTTCTGTATTTTTATGGGTGTCCTGTTGATCTATAGCGTACTACATGCTGTTTCCCAACCCAGTTGTCAGAATAAGTGTTAGCATTGTGCCTTTCTGCAAACCAGGGATATGTCACACTTGTACGTTATTATGTAGCAGATAAAACTTTACATTTCAGCACTGCCGTGGTTAACGTGTGGTCAGGGTTAGGCACCAAAACCACTTGGTCATGATAAAGGTTATGGCACAATCCCTGGTGGAAAATCAGTGATGACTCACTTCAAAAAACACCCGCTTTTGTTGTTTGTTTTAAACAGTGGTCTGCGGGGTGGCAGGCATCTGGCCTAGGTTTCACACCATCCACCATTCCCTCCACCTCCTGATGACAAAGTCAGCTCATTTACTACATCACTTTAGAAGCGCTGATGTAAAACAAACAAATGTAACCTATCCATGGTTTGCAAAAATGCATGGACAGATAATGGGACAGTGAGCCCCTGGGCACAGACATGCTGAAGGCCCCACCACCTCTCTCACATACAGTAAGAGAAAGACACAGGTTCTATAGTTGTTTGGGATCTTTATGTTGCTGATTTGCTTCTCTTTGTAGTTGATTCACCTTACTTTGTGGTTTTGTGTCTCTTTGTAGTTGCTTTGTGTGTCTTTCTGGTCATTTTGTGTCTGTAGTTGCTTTTGGTTTCTTTGTGGTCATTTTGTGTCTCATTGTAGTTGTTTTGTGTCTCTTTGCAGTTTCTCTGTCATTGTAGTTGTTTTGTGTCTCTTTGTAGTTGCTTTCAGTCCCTTTTAGATCATTTTGTGTCTCGTGGTCTTTTGTGTCTCTTTGTAGTTGGTGTATGTCTCTTTGTAGTTATTTTGTGTTATTTTGTGTCTCTTTATAGTTATTTTGTGTTATTTTGTGTCTCTTTATAGTTATTTTGTGTGTCTTTGTAGTTGTTACGGGATTTTGCATCATGCAAGTGTGGGTTTTCTGCGGGTTCATCCCACAGACCAAAGACATGCAAGTCAGGTAAACAGCCCATAGGTGTGAACATGAGCTTGAGTGGTTGTGTGTCAGGCCTGTGACAGTCTGGTGACCTGCCCAGGGTGTACCCCACCTCTTGCTCAATGTCAGCTTGGATAGGCTCCAGCCCCTCGCAACCCTGTACCAAGATAAACAGTTATGAATAATGTATAATGAACCTAAGCATTTATGTTTCTTTTTAGTCATTTTGTGACTCCTTGTGGTTGTTTTGCATCTCTCTGTAGTCGTTTTGGGTCTCTGTGATAATTTTGAGTCTCTTTCAGGTTGGTACGTCTTTTTGAGTGACATTTTGCAGGTGAAGACCAGGTGGGCCCCTGACATTTTAGGCCCCTGGGCCTGTGCCCTGTAGGCCCGTTCAGCAATCCATTCACGCAAAAATGTATCAATGTGCCATCATTTTCCTCTGGCAACTGGACTGTTTCCACAGCCTCTACACCTATCAGTTGATCCATTGTCACTGGTGAATGTGGTTAGACTAAGTGATACTAGGTGTGTATTTGGTAGCGTCCTTTTTTTCCCCTAAATGTGTGTAGTTAAAGAAGAAGGGACTACTGATCTTGTGTCTGAATTGGAGCAAATTACTGCAGCCAGGTTGAACATCACATGGAAAGCCTGAAACCAGAAGTTGTTATAGCAGCACATTAACTATCACGTGTCAGTGGGAGTAGTGTATTTTCAACCTCTTATCTCATTTCATATTCTAAAAGAAACAGCGCCATGTTGATGATGAACACTGGGTGGAGGTTATGTCATTCCTCTTTTATATGTTAGATATAGTTTCACATTTACTTTCACGTCATTTTTCTAAAAGGAAGTGAATACGAGCTCCACAGAGAAACACAGCAGTCTAAATCTAGCTCTGACAAGACAACCCAAACGACATGGTACATCTGAACATGTCACTTCATGTCCACGCACTTGTGGAAGCCACAACATGACGGACCCGGCTGCCCGCGCCTCCTCTCATCCTCGCATCTCCGGCGTGTTGTAAATGGGCGGAGCTACAGAGCGAGGAAGAGATGCGAGTGAGGAGGAAGCACAAATGACCAAATGACAGGAAGCATTTACACTAATTTCACAGACAGCCCCGAGCCCCGGTAGAACAAACAGGCACGCGTGCTGAGGGCGGACATTGGAATTAAACAAAAGCCTAATTTCCCCCGCATCCTCAGAGCAGAGGAAATCGCCTGCCTCCGCCCCTTGTGACCTACAAGTAAACAGATGGAGAAACAGGCCGGAGCTGCCGGGGCGGCGGACGGAGCAGGGCCGAACAGAAAGCCCTGGGGCTCGCCGACCAGTGCACCATCCGCCGGGGAAACCCTGGACAGGTGAGTGGGCTCGGTCCCACAAGAATATATTATATGTTGACCATTTACAGTTTCCTGCTATTCCGCAATATTCAAGTCTCGATGAAATATTGCACAAATTTCCTGAATGAAGACGGTCTTGTCTTTAATTCGGCGTGAAGCCAATGCAGACATTTTTGAAATATCGACTTTTAAATCAGATTTTCTAATAAGCAAAGGCTGCTACATACTACCGGTTTTTAATGGAGTTTGGCGTAATGGTACCTTAACGTTACAGTATAGCAGCGATGATAGAGTAGCTAAGTTAGCGGTGTGTAGGCTACAAGCGTGTTTAAACCATTATACTGTAACAGAACAAGGAGACGACAGCACAACATATTGTCAGACACAACAGTGTGGTCTGCCAGTTGGTTAACAGACAGCTAACAGCTAGTGTTATCTCTGTAAAACACTCAGTGTAGAGTAACGTTAATGTTAGCTACAGCTAATGCAGAACACAGTATGCACTGTGGGCGTCACTAAGTATGTTTAGGAATGCAGCATGACCGTCCACAATCTGTCACATTTAATTTATACATTTTAAATAAAATTGTCCTTCTAGGAAATGAGATCAGGGCCTGAATCAAGCCACTGGGGGTTCCGGGCGTAGTTTAGCCCCACCACCAATTTAACGAAATTGATATTTAATGTAGAACATGCACTATATTATGGAGTTCTTTATTAGGTTAGAAATAGGGGAGGCATGTTAAATAATACTTTTAGCTCTGGGGAAGGACTTATGTTTTTTTATTTTGGCTTAGGGGAAGGACATACAACTTTAAATGGTTGTATATGGTATATAATAAATACTTTCTGTCAAATTAAAATAAACTGCTAAGATCACATTGGTTATCATAGTCAGAAACTGTAAAATTAGCAAAAATAAATATTTTGGGTAACTCTTAAAGGGGAGCTATGCCCATTTTCAAATTTCATACATGTTAGTCCTATGGCCCAGAACAGTCCAAAAAATATTAGCAAACATGAACAACACTCTCCCAAATCCAAAAACTCGAGTGCTAAAACTCAAGTTTGTAATGTCATAGGGTATAAAGCCTGGAGCTAATCCATAGACTCTTTTACTGATAGTAAACAGTATGATGGTTTTGGTGGGTGGGGCTTAGCTGGAGGCAAAACAATTCTCCACAGACATTAGCTAGTGCTAGCAAGCAAGTTCTGTTGGCTTGTTACCGACAATAGAGAAGGATAATTTGAGTCTCTCTGAATAGGGAGCAGTCGGGATCACTCATTGCAAGGGTGTGAGCACAGTGTAGCACAAACTGGACCATTCAGAAATTCAGATTCGCTGTCGAAATGTACCGCTCGAGTCCTGTTTTGCCTCCGGCTGACAAAATGACGTCATTGTCATGTCATCCCTTAAAGGGTCCATAGACATTGAATGGTAAAATACGCTCTAGAGCAGTGGTTCCCAGCTGGTGGGTCGCAGGTCCATTCTGAATGGACCACAAGTGACTTGCAAATGTGTCAGGTTTGTAGATCTGTTGGGATGCACTGTTCCAGGTGACACTAAGAACACCCAGGGGAATGTTCTGAGTATATGGGTACAGTTTCTGTTTCAGAACTGAGAACATTAGAATTGAATTAAGCTCATTTGGGTATAAAAAATAAAACAAACATTCTGTGGCTCCACAAAGTCAGGCACCCATTCATTGTCTATGGAGCAGCTCCAGAATTTATATCCTATGACATTACAAGTTTGAGACTTACTTCTCTGGTTTTTGGCTTTGAGAGAGAGTATGTTATGTTCACAAATACTGATTTAACTACCACGGCCATTGAAGCAACATATTGGAATTCTTAATTTGGGTGGTGTTCCCCTTAAATCCTGTGCTGTTTGCTTATTACATTGACTCCAGTACCTCAATTTGGTGTAAATATAGAAAAACAATGGTGAGGGCCTATTTATGGTGTAGGGAGGGTCATGCATTTCCCTCACTCACTCAGGGAGGCTCAAGTAAAAATATTTGTAGCTTCAAGAGTCAAAATAATAACACTTAAAAAAAGCCAAACTTGTACATCATTTGCACATGTAAAGGCAGCATAACTTGCACTTACTAACATTGATGACCGTGTGTTATTTCCAGCATAGCTCGACCCAACTTTACCCTGAGCAGAAGTGTAATCGGTCGGTTTTCCCATACGTTTGTGTCCAACTGATCTATCATTTTTGAAATTGGTCTGGTGTTGAGCGAAAGCGCTGCAGCAAAACATGCTGCAATGTAACGTTAATGGACAATGCACACAGACATTGATGATGCAAACTTGCCCCAGGTTGTTACATTGCTGCCATTGAAACTCAACATTTCCTGCAGATGTTTTGCAACAAAAGCATGCCAGAAAATGAAGGGATTACATTATGCAGGAAGTGTTGAGTTTTACTCATGGCAGCTTAACAGCAATCAAAAAATGGTAATGTTGTAGGAATAGGGAAAAAAAACAGTATTTTGTTATAGTTTTGGTGTTATAGTTTTCTCGCCTCTGTCTGTTCAGTCCAACAGGTTCCCATGTAGAGTGGTGTAAACAGTTGATAGCAGCCACCATCTCCAGTCAGATCTCAGGATCGGTCCCACCTGACATTGTGAACAGGGACAACAAGGTAGCTAACAGACACACACTCACAAACAAACACACTCACACTGCTGACAGTATTACTCATCAGTTTGTTTTTTGTAACTGATAGGCCAGAAGAAGACCAGATCTCATGGTAAGGCTGGCACAAATGGCAATATGTATGCACATGTGTGCTGTGTGTGCAGGGGCAGAGCTTTGTGTGTTTAGTGTATGTGAATGTACTGTATCACAGCTGTTGTCATTGTTGAATAAGCTACTGTTGAGCTGCTGTACAGTTTCTTCTCTGCTTCTGCCTGTCAGCAGCTAAGTACTTATTTGTTTTATCAAACTTGTCATCAAACCAGTAGAGTGGTGTAAGACATGCAATGTTTGGTTGGGTGCACCCAAGCGGCACCTTCAACACGTAGAGCCAAAAACTGCAGTTCCTCTAATGGCCATGTGAGGCTCACTTCAAAAGTGAGTCAGTCTCCACAGACCTCCATGTTAAAATGGCCAACTTTACAGCAGAAATGAACATGTAAACAACACCCTGGTACAAAAAATGGTTTTGTCCTCTATAGCTTATTTTTTTGTTCATGACAACAGTACGGAGGTGAACTTTTATATAACACACCTGTTTGTATTCTTTCAAATATGGTGATGGCCAAAATGCCAAACTTTAGGCTTTAAAACGGGAGTCACTGTAGCCATTTACCCTCCAGGACTTACCCTCCAGGGGCTTTTTTTGGGGTATTGTTGCGGGCTAAAATGCCTGATTTCATAGCAGCTTTTTTTTTTTAAAAAAAAAAAGCTATGCACGTTGCAAAGTTTTTAGGTTTTTTTTTTGCAATGAAATTGCGGATTCAAGTGAAAATTACAATAATATTGTTTTTGAAGGCAGCTAATCCTGTGAGGTTTTAAGCAGTAATTTTGTTGTTAAATGTGAGATGTTCGTGTTGTGCATGTCTGCTTCTTCACATCTAAAAACAAGGCAGGGAGTTTGGTGATGTTGTGCGTGGGATTGCTATGACTGGTGAAACTCACAGGAAACTGCAGTGATTGGTCAGATTTGCTGAAAAGTTGCAAGGTCGTGCAGTCACGGGGATTGGTTGAATTTGTGTTTGCTGTTGCAATAGTGACTTTACAACATCCTGAAGGAGCTGATTTTTACGCCCTATGCGCCGAAATATTAGCTGCTGAATACGCTGTACTTAGCTCTGCGTATCAGTATGTATATCATTCCACAGAAAGAGGTGTGCTTTTACTCATGGACGAGAGAATTTACCTCAAGACGGCACGAAATTCAACATTAATGGCGTCCTCTTTGGCTGAGCTGTAACTTTAGCTAGCTCAGTGGTGCTAGGTGAGCTAGCAGTAGATGCCCGGTTCCTTTTGTGTGGTGATACGGTTGGCAGGTATATTGTGATTGACACAAAACAGTTCCTACATGAAATTGCTCACAACAGGGTCTGGATTATCTTGAGTTACCAGGTCATGATTTCTGGAAAGAGACATTGCTGTAGAGTTTTTCAAATGTGTTTTTTTTTTTTTTTGTACTTTGAGCACTACAGGCTGAGTACCATCTAGTTCCACTATTCTGGAGAGAAAGCAGACATCTCTACAGCCGATATCTCCAACACTCAGCAACTCATACCAGAACAATCTAGACTGATAAATAGGGATAAATATAGGGATTCTCTAAACTGAAGTTATAAGGGGCTTTTAAAGGACAACTTCGGTATTTTTCAACCTGGGCCCTATTTCCCCATGTGTATGTGTGCATATGATTCATAGATACAACTCGTTCTAAAATTGGTTCAGTATTGAGGGAGGCGGATGCAACCGGAGCCGCGAAACGAGCTAAAACGGTAAAGGGGGCAAATAAGTCCCATATAAGTTTGCACATTAAAAGTGCTTTTTTTAGCCACTGACAGGTTCAGATAACCAGTGCTATGAGTGGAGTCAGCTGTCAGTCAGTGTTGGAGCAGAGAGGGGGAGGGCTGCCCCGCTGGGTACTGTAAGTGAGTATGTGTGTATGAAGTGTGTGTTTTTTCGCCACTGATCGGTTCAGATCGCCAGTGCTATCTCTGTAAATAGCATACTAACTTAGCCTTTCCCTTACCTCTGGGCTGTGTGATGTCACAAGCTTTGCTCCACTGTGTCTGTAGCTCTCTCTACTCGTGGGACAGCCGTTTTCTTGAGGAAGAGGTGTTTAGGGATTGGATGTCTTCTCTTCTTCAGCTGGCAGTAGTCATCTTGGGAGAAGTGAACACTGCAGACCCGATGGTCTGCAAGGCACAGTGTCTGGAAAGGAGTGTTAGCATCCATTTGTAGCACAACTAGCCACAACTTCACTATCTCGCCGTCCGACAAAGGCAGCCTACGAAAGCTGTACGGGGTGTTGCCCGACATCCTGTTCTTGCGTTCGGGAAAAAGGCCCGTTTATTTGAGCACTCCAAAAACTCCGGTAACACTCCAGGGGGTAGCACGTAAAAGACTCCGTCCCAAACTCTGACTCTTCTGGCGTAACACACACACTTCATACACACATACTTACAGTACCAAGCAGGGCCGCCCTCCCCCTCTCTGCTCCAACACTGACTGACAGCTGACTCCACTCATTCACACTCACCGCTGCCCCAGGGCCGCTACAATATGCTATCTACAGAGATAGCACTGGCGATCTGAACCGGTCAGTGGCAAAAAAAAAACACTTTTATACGGGACACATTTGCCCCCATTACCGTTTTAGCTTGTTTCGTGCCTCAATACTGAACCAATTTTAGAACGAGTGGTACCCATGAATCATACGCACACATATACATGGGGAAATAGGTCCCAGGTTGAAAAATACCGAAGTTATCCTTTAAGTAAAAAGTAGAAAATACAGAGGGAATAATAAATTAAGGCCTGTTTCTAATTTAGTCTGTTTCAAATGAAGCTGGTACCTGCAGTTGTGGCAAGTAAAAGCCCCAGCACTATTTGTGAATTTTATTCCTTTATATCCTCCATTATGAAGAAATAACATTCTTTGCTAGCTTGACGCTACTGGCGGTACTCAGCAGGTTGCTAAAGTTCCGCTGCTGTTTAATGCCAGCATTTTTCTTTTTCTTTTTTTTTTTTTTTTATTCCGTCATGGTAACATCCCTAGAGGAAATATCAAAAAGACTGGGGTGTTGGTGGCATACAGGTGTCCACGGCAGCAGATCGCTCTGTGTTCCTATTGGTCAAAGTGAGGGCTGTAACAGGAGAAGTTGTGGAAGACAAAATAATAATTCATACATGCTAGACTTTGTGTCGGGATGTTGTGAGGCGTCCCAGACGCAGCATCAGTTGTTGTCTCCTATGACACACTACACGAGATGAAACAATGGATTATCCCCAAGACACTCACTGTCATTCATGATCTGAGCCGACAGCAACATTGGGTTATAATAGGGCTGATATTTTGTAGTCTGAGCCCGACGTTACTGAGAGCCATTTAATGTTATGGAGCACTTCTGTGGAATGAAGTTCTGTGTCTGTCATATGTAGCACTTTTCTGCTGCTTGGTTTTAAATGTGCTTTTACAAAAGTGTTCTGCAGCTCTGTTCCTCTATTGTAGCAGCTTCCGGTTGTTGTATTTGCTTGGATATTTGAATCCACATTGTCGCATTTGCTTTGGGCTCCTTTGTGTTTGCACCTATCTGTCACCAAATACAGAATGGTTGCATTGGACTATTTGACATAGTCAGTTTCAATGATAGAGTTTGCTAACAATAAAAATGCAGTTAAAGTAATCTTCAGTTTGATATCAGACAGTGAATATATAGTCATTTCCATTTCATGTGAACTACATTTGTTTTATATATATGTGTGTGTGTGTGTGTGTGTGTGTGTATGTCCTGTGTATTCGGTTTGTTAATCTCCAGATGTCCAAGAGGCTGAATCCAAGGGTAAGAATTGTAGTCTTATGAGTTTGTCCTCTGGAACAATACAGTTCAGACACATGTATTTTTAAACAAAGGGTTGTTTCGCTTAAAGGATAACTGAACTAAAACCTCCTACAGACTGAGTTTTTTAGCAATCATATAAGTTTAGTACAGCAACACTGTGCAACATGGATCTAATAACCTTGGGTATGACATCAAGTTTGATGTATGCACACTGTACAATGATAACACCAACTGAATCACAAGCTACGACGTACATCCATCGACACCAATATGCAAGAACAAAACGTCATCAGCGTGCGTCATCCATCTATGCCGCTGTAGTGGTACGAGAAAAATGAAAACAAACTTGAATGAAGCCCTTGCTATAGCTGCATTTAAGTGTGTCAAAAAAGGCTAAAGAAGAGGAGGAGGAGGATAGGAATGTGGTTGTGGCTGAGGATAAAAGGCAGGCTGTCTAGGCATGCCAACTTTGCAGTGAGAGCTCAAAGTGTATTTATTAACATCTACGAGTATTTAGCATTGTTGCGCTAATTAGTGCATCATTTCATGCTGCATTTCTGTTGGTTGGTTAGTAGACGTAGGTTGCAACAGCAGTCACACAGTGAGATGGTCATCCCAAATTTCTGACACTGTCAGAATTTTATCACAGGCTGTCTTTGATCGCAAGACCGTGACAACGGCCATACTTGAATCTTTCTTACTGTGTAACATTGGACTACTGTTTCAGAGCCACAACCAATGATATCACCACGTTTCTTTCACATTGGTCAACTTTTGTCTGGGACAAAAATCACACAGTGTATACCAGGCTTAATGGGAACAACAGTTTTTTAAAGTGGTCCAAAACTGAGCTAAAGCTGCTTTCGACTACTTACTGATAATAAGTTGAGGAACTGTTTATGGATAAGATACACAAACATGAATTATCCAGCAAATCATGAAATACCTCCTGATAAATCTGTGTGCTTCACTACACTGATGCAGAGATCATAATAAAGTCTAGTTACCACACAGCATGTCATGAATAGGTGAAAGTGAACGCACAATCTGACAACAGTTTGTTTCAGTGTCTTTGACTTGAATGTGCATACAGACTACTTCATGTAGGGTAAACAGGATGTGACTGTCTGGCTGAGGTGTATGCAGATGAACTGTCTGGGGGCAGAGCTTAACTGTGCTTCCTGCATTAGTACTTCCTCCATCAGGCCCACTGTAGACA